TATTAGCTGATTAGCTGACTAAAGTATAACTCCCCTCCCCCCTAGTTATTTGCCTTTGTGAATAAGGAGAATCTTGAACGTCCTTCAATAATGATAATACTGTCATTTCTACAGCAATTTCAGGTTTGTAAAGGGCCTTATTTGTATTATCTGATTTGAGTCTCCCAATAGAACCCTTCGAGGGAGGGACTACCAGCCTTATTCTCTGCATTTTATAGATGGGGAAACAGCCGCAGAGAAGTCACATGACTTGCTTGTGGTCACTTTGTAAATGTCAGGCAGGATTTGCACCCAGCTCTTCCTTACTCAAAGGCTAGGACACCCTCTACTATGGTACACTGTCTTTCTCGACCAGAAATCTGGAGTTAGATCTGGATCTGGAAGTCTGAGGACCTGAGTCCAAATTTTAGCTCTGTTACATACTACCTGGGTGACCTTGGGCAGGTCACTTAATGTCTCTGGGCCTCAGTTTCTCTGTCTTCCTCTCTGGAAAGTGAGATGGTTGCAGTAGCTGATCTCTGTGGTCCTTTCCAGCTCTAACATTTCATGATCCTATGACTTGAAGGAATGAAACTGTCATGGTGAAGGGACAGGTGGTGGGGTTGATATTTCAGCCCTCGAATCATGCCATATAGGCCTTCACCCACTTGGAAGACCAGACTGGGCTGTCCATCTGAGCCGTGTGATTCCCCAAATTGTGAAGCGATGAGTGAAGTCGGGACTATTCTCATCTTTGGTATGGCTGGAAAGAACAACCCAAAAGGGTTTCTCAAATGTATATTCTTAGCAACTCAACCTTTGTGCTCATGTTCCGAGGCCTGATTCTGCAGGGACAGTGCCAGTCGGGGACTGTGCCCTTCAAAGGCAGTGGCTGCTGCCTGCCTACTCAGCAGCCAGCAGGCCATTATTGTCTCCTTGACATTGCCCCTGCCTGCCGCCCCCCTGCCCCCACCCCCAAGTTGTACTAGTGTGCTGAACTATGGTTGAAGGGAGTCACTGGCCTGTCTTTCCATGGCTGCCTTGACTCCTTTCTGGGCGTCTGCCTTTCTGTCTGGCTTTCTGGGGCTCCAGAGGTCACACTGGCCCAGAATGGAATTGTCTGTGCCACCAGACAAGGCTCTCCTGCCCCGATCTGTAGTAGGAACGTGTATGTATGAGAGATTCAGGGGCTAGGGGGCAGTTAGCTGATTGGGCCATTCTGCTCTAGGCGCAACTAATAACAAGGGGCTATGAAGCTTTAGAGCTGGATGGGACCTTAGAGGTCATCAAGTTCAACCCACTTGTTTTACAGAAAAGAAAACTGAGCCCCAGAGAGGAAATGATATGCCCAGAGGCAGCTAGGCGGTGCAGTGGCTAGAGCATTGGGCCTGGAGTCAGGAAGACCTGAGCTCAAATCCAACCTCAGGGACTTACTAGCTGTGACCCTAGGCAAGTCACTTCACTGCTGCCTGCCTCAGTTTCCACATCTGTAAAATGGGGAAAATAACAGTGCCTACCTCGTAGGGTTATTGTAAGGACCAGAAGAGATATATCTGTATAACACCATGCCTGGCACCTAGTAGGTACTTAATAAATGCTTATTCTCTTCCCTTTTCCCCGAGGTCACACAGAGCATCATAGACCTAGACTAGAAGGGACCTCCGAGGCCATCTAGTCCAACCCCCTCATTTTACAGAGGGGGAAACTGAGGCCCAGAGAGGCAAAAAGACTTGCCCAAGGTCATAAAAGTAGCATGTGTCAGTGCTGAGATTAGAACCTAGGTTCTTTGGCCTCAGATGCAGTATTCTCTCCACTGTACCATCCTTCTTCTTTAAAAAAAAAAAGCCAGTTAATTGTTTTATATCAGGATAGAAACACACACTACTGTAGTGTAGGCAGATGGGCTTGGGGTGTTTTTGGTTGTTGTTTTAAATATTTAAAATGACTTTGGTTTTTTTTTTCTTAATAGTATTTTATTTTTTCCCAATTACATATAAAGATAGTTTTTCAACATTCACTTTTATAAGATTTTGAGTTCTAAATTTTTTCCCCTCCCTCTCTCCCCTCCCCCTCCCTAAGACAGCATGCAATTTGATATAGGCTATACAGGTACAATCATATTAAACATATTTACATATTAGTCATATTGTGAAAGAAGAATCAGAACAAACAAAAAAACCACGAAAAAGAAAAAAAAAGCAAATAGTATGCTTTGATCTGCATTCAGACTCCATAGTTCTTTCTCTGGATGTGGATAGCATTTTCCATCATGAGTCTTTTGGAATTGTCTTAGATCATTGTGTTGGTCATCACACAACCTTGCTGTTACTGTGTACAACTTCCTGGTTCTGCTCCCCTCACTCAGCATCAGTCCATACAAGTCTTTCCAGGTTTTTCTGAAGTCAGCCTGTTCATCATTTCTTAGAGCACAATAATATTCCATTACATTCGTATACCACAACTTGTTCAGCCATTCCCCAATGGATGGGCATCCCTTCAATTTCCAATTCTTTGCCACCACAAAAAGAGCTGCTATAAATATTTTTGTACATGTGGGTCCTTTTCCCTTTTTTATGATCTCTTTGGGATACAGACCTAGTAGTGGTATTGCTGGGTCAAAGGGTATGCACAGTTTTATAGCCCTTTGGGCATAGTTCTAAATTGCTCTCCAGAGTGGTTGGATCAGTTCACAACTCCACCAAGAATACATTAGTGTTCCAGTTTTCCCACATCTTCTCCAACATTTATCATTTTCTTTTTTTATGACTTTGGTTTTTAAAACTGAGGAGACCTAATGACAAGCAGGCAGAATCAGAACGGCTTTGCAGCCTTGGGCAATTTCAAGGCTGGGTTTGCCCTGTCAAAGTGAAACATTCCATTCTGTGCCTTGCAGTATGGGACTGAAAGTCAGGACACCTGGGTTCAGATCCAGCCTCAGAAACCACCTCATGTGTTCATAGACAAATCACTTCACCCTTTGGTGTCCCAGTTTCCTCATCTGTAAAACGAGGATCATAATACTAATGCTGCCTACCTCATAAGGTTGGGTTATTTTATAAAGTTTAAAAAATAATTTTTTTTATCCAATTATCAGGCATTTATTTTTGCCTTCTCATCTCCTCCCACCCCACTGGGGAAAACAAGCAAACAAATAAGGAAATAACCTCATAACATAGAAGCAAACCAGATTTCTACATTGACGGCTTCCAAGAATCCCACTGCTGACCATGCTGGCTTGGTGCCTGAAATTGAGCTAATCTGAGATCTCCCCCCCACCCCCCTCAACCAAAAAACCAACAGTAGCCACTGCAACAAATCAACCTTACTTTCAAGTCAAGGGAAGAACAAAGGACCACAGCCAATTGGAATTGAACACTTTAATTAATTTTGTAATTAAGGAATTGATTTGTTAGAGTATATGATCAGTGGGCTTAACGATAAGAAAAACCAAAGTCACTTCAATTTCCTATTGGGGAGCTGCCATCTTCTTTTGGTTTACACCAGGCGTGGGGAACCTGCGGCCTCGAGGCCACATGTGGCCCTCTAGATCCTCAAGTGCAGCCCAGTCAAAGGGCCTTGAGGCCGCAGGTTCCCTACTCTTGGTTTACACCTATAAATCTTCTGATACATGAAAGTGGGAGAAGTTTGCCATATTGTGGACTATACACATTTTAGGCCATTCACAAGATTAAGAAATGGCCCGTCTGAAGGTCTGGCAGCTCTTTGCAACCTAACATTAATCTTCTCTAGGTTGTTAATTGAAATTAAGCTGAAAGGAAGAAGCAGTGACCCTAAAATATCTCCAGGTTGAGGCAGCTGGCCAGCCATGTTTCATTGATCTGACCACTGAGGACGGTTGTTTTGTTTTGGTTTGGTTTTTGGTTGAAACTGTTTTCGGGAATTCTTCCATTCTTGCATAGAGTGTCTTGAGAGGCAGGGTGATAGTGGATCAGGGGGCTGGGCCTGGGAAGTTTGGAAAGCCTGGGCTTGAGGTACTTCCTGTCTCAGTTGCCTGTTAGTTTGACTTGTCCAGCAGTTGCCTCTCTGCATTGGTGGAGGGAGTTTTCCCATCAAGAGTTCTCTGTGCCAATCAACACAGACCTTAACCCCACCCGATTCCCCCCCCAAAGCATCTTGTCTTCAGAACAGTATGTCTGCTTCTTTTGAGTCTTTTGGCCACCCAGTGAATGCCTTGCTTTGCTTTGCTTTGCAGTCCCCTTGCTGAGGGCTACAAGGCCCTGTTTTAGATCAGTCAGCCGCTCACTAAGCCTTTATTGGTAAACTCCTATGTTGGGTACCAGGTGCTGTGCAAAACAGTGTCTGCCCTCAAGGAGCTTACATGCTACAAGGGTTTTGATTTCCACAGAGGTCATTTTTCACCTTTCTGAGATGAGGCATATTCTCTGAGCACCTAGGATTTAGAAAATCTTTTTTTAAAATTAATTTATTTTTAGTTTTCAACAATCACTTCCGTAAGCTTTTGAGTTCCAGATTTTCTCCCCTTCCCTCCCCAAGACAGTGTGCAATCTGCTATAGGCTCTATATTACATAGAAAACCTTTTGAAAATACTTTGATCCTCCAAGGGGATCAGGGACATTCATCAGTGGACATTCTCTCCAAGGATGCAGATTGCCACCCATCCATCCACACCCATTGTTCCTATCCTCCAAGACCTTTGCCTCAAGGGGTTCACCAGTATGCTGGAAGCCTTCACGTCCTCTGGGCACCACAGGATACCAGTGGATACCAGTGGAGCCTTCAGAATGAAAATATTAAATGTATTGATTATGTACAGCCCACTTATTCCTTAGCAGGACTGGCCTTGCTCTACTTAAGGGGGAAACTGAGGGAAATAGGTTAAGTAGTCTACTCCTTAAAGAGAACAAAGATAAAAGCAGGGGTGACCCACCAAGAACTCTTGGCTTCTTGTCCTTTGACCAATGCTTTCAATCATTCAACTGGGCCCTTGGGAAACTGAAAGTGTGTCTCAAACTCTAATCAGACATCTTTTCCCCTCCAGGCTGAGCACTGTGGAATTTGCATCTTTATTGGGCAACTTTGAGGAAGTGTGCACATTTCAGCAGACCCTGTGCCAGGCCTTGGAGGAGTGTGCAAAGTAAGCATTGGAGGTTGGCTGTGGAGCTCAGGGGCGTGGAGGCCTATGGGAGCAGCTACGGTAAAGACTCTACAGGAGCGTGTCTGCTTTTGTACCTACTTGACCACAGTAGAGAGGAATGATACCAATGATGCCAATGATGATCGTAGTGTTGGCAGTGGCCACCAAGGTTGTACGAAGAACATGTGGCCGGTGTTTGTTCATTGAGATGAACCTCAGTTTACTGAATCTGGTCCACCTGAGAAAGATGCCTCAGTATCCTCATGCCAGACACCTAATGACAGTCTTTTGTACCTTGGACAGTAGAGTGTAGATTGGGCAACTAAGTGGTGCTGCAGTGACTAGAGCATTGGACCTAGAGTAAGGAAGATCTGAGTTCAAATCCAGCCTCAGATACTTACTAGCTGTATGACCCTTGGCAAGTCATTTCACCTCTGTCTGCTTCAGTTTCCTGATCTGTAAAATGGGGATAATCAGAGCACCTACCTTCCCTTGGTTGCTATGAGGATCAAATGAGATGATAATTGTAAAGCACTTAGCACAGTGCCTGGCACACAGTAGGCACTATAGAAATGTTAGCCATTGTTAGTTCTTATTATTAGATTGTGAGCTTCGGGCTTTTTTCCACTGATCACTCTTAGCATCATTTAGTGCTGTGGAAAAAGCACTGGGTTGGCAGTCAGAGGACTGGATTTGAGTTCTGACTGCTGTTTATTACCTGGCTAACCTTGGGCAAGTCCCTTTCCCTCTCTGGGCATCAATTTTCTCCTCTGTAAAATGAGGGGAGTGGACTCAGGGGTCTCTGGGGTCCCTTTCAACTCTAGAGCTAGGATTCTGTTTGTGACCTTGGGCAAGTCCCTTCATTGCCCTGGGCCTCAGTTTCCTCTTCTGTAAAATGAAGGGGCTGGACTAGCTGGCTTCTGGGGTCCCTTCTGGCTTGAGATCTAGGATCCTATGATTAGTCTTGGCACTTTCACTGAATTCCAAGGGAGCTTGGAGCAGAAAAAGTATATCCCTTTGGTCGTGCAACATGGGAGTATGGGATTTATTCACGTTTTATTATGTAGTATATGTCGCTGAAGTGACATCATGGGATAAGTATGACTTCTGGAGTGGGCCTTTGAACTCCAAGGGCTTGAGTGTGGCGAAGGCTGGTGATGGGAACTGTAGCTCCTGAATGTCCTTAGGGAGCGTGGGCTGACCATCAGCCAAGCTCTGTCCTTTGGGATGGACCAGATGAGGCCGATGGAGATCTATGGAAAACAGCAGGTGGGCAGGCAGCCAGGGTTCCAAATGACTGACAGCCAGAGGCCAAACCAGCCATCTGACCATCCTTTCTGCTCTCCTCCTCAACCCTGTCCTGTTCTCACCACCCAACTCAGGTCACATGTTGCTTTTTGTCATTTCTCTTACTTTTCCCCTTAAGGTTTTCCACGATATTAATTTTATTTTGTTCTTTAAAATAAGGTTTAGTGGTGCCTTTTGTTCTTCCATCAGTTTAATTTGTGGTTATACACCACTGCCATCCCATAGCTCAGTCCTCTCCTATAACAAAGAAAAATGGTTAATTGAAAGAAAGTGAAACAGTGCCCACACCTGACAGTATTTACAATATCCTGCCCTCAGAGTCCCCCACCTCTCTACTGAGAGGTGGTTATTTGAACCCTATTTCCCCCATTTCAAAGTGTTTGCCTATGGGGGGCCCCTTCCCCCCTTCCTTTCTGCAGTTGGGGGAAGGTGGGACAGGCCACAGGGAGCTCATTTCATTTCTGGGCACACAAATATTTAGATGTTATATCCATGCCTTTTGGTTGTCTTATACTGCATTCATTACCCTATATCCCTTCTGACCTTCTCCACACTATTGATCCCTCCCTTGAATCAAAGAAAAATAGTTATGCAAAACTGACTGAGCATATGAGGCAGAGTTTACACTATTCTATACCTGTAGTCTCCTGCTCTCTAGAGAGGAGAGAAGTGTTAGTTCATCTTCTGTTCTTGGGGACCAAGATCGGTCACCGCAATTAATCTGAGTTTGGCTAACTTTTAGTGCTGTTCTCCTTTCCTTTTTGTAGGCGCTTGGGATATTTTGCTCTTGGTTCTGTTGACTTTTTTCTGCATCAGTTCATACAAGCCTTCCCATGTGTCTCTGTATTCCTTAGATTTGGCATTTCTTGCCATGCAATAGTATTCCATTGTGTTCACATGCCACGATATAGTCATCTATTCCCCAACTGGTGGGCACCCTCTTTGTTTCTAGTGTTTTGGTCTTAGGGGCTTTTATTGAGCCGAAAACATTTTCATTTTACTCTGGGTCTCTCTTTAAAAACTGCAGTCTGTCTACCAATGCCAGGTATATATACAACCCTTTATTGAAGTAAAGTCAACAGGGTTTCTATTTTTTTTTTAATCTGTTAAGCAAAATTTTCAGAACTTTTAGATACTATGCATCTTTAACAGGCAGCTAGGTGGTACAGTGAGTAGAGTACTGGGCCTGGAGTCAGGAAGACCTGAGTTCAAATCCAGCTTTAGACACTTATTAGCAGTGTGACCTTGGGTGAGTCATTTAATCTCTGTCTGCCTCAATTTCCTCATCTGCAAAATGAAGATAAGGGTAGTATCTAGTTCACAGGTTTGGGTGTGAGGATCAAATAAGATAATATCTGTAAAGTGTGTAGCACACTGCTTGTCATATAGTAAGTATTATAAAATGTTAGTTACTATTTTAATGGAAGTCATTCTCAGGTATTTGTTACTTATGTAATGTATCTTTTTCCCCCCTTTCTCTCTCTTTTTGAAACAGACTTCCAGAGAGTCAGCAGAAAGTCGGAGGCTGCCTGATGTCCCTAATGCCTCAGTTTAAATCTCTGTATCTCACTTATTGTGCTAATCATCCCTCAGCTGTGAATGTTATAACTCAGCACAGGTAATGAATGTGTGGTCCTGTTGACATCCTTATCAAAGTGCCCTCCTAGATGGTTTTTTTAAGTAAGCTTTTTGGATGCCTTTCATTTGTTTACATCCCAGTCATTTCTGATTTACACCTGTACCCCCATTTCCTCACCCTCTCCGTGCCAGAATTGAACCTTTGCTTGTTTTTTTTAACCATTTAATTTTTATTTTATTCTTTTCTCAATTACATGTAAACACACATTTTTAACTGAACCTTCCCGTGTGATAGAGAAAACCAGTTAGGCAAAAACGTCCAGCTCAGTGACAGTACCCAAGCATGTACCCTGTACCCAATGTTTTGCCCTTGTAGTCACCTGTTTGTCTGCTGAGAGGGGGGAGGCATGTTTTATTATGTTCTTTAAGACTGTTATTAGTTTTTCATTTTTTGGACTTCAGTCTCCTTTTACTGATCTTCTCATTTACATTGGTGTAGTCATTGTGTATACCATTCTTCTGGGTCTTTTTATTGAGTCATAGAAATTCAGTCATAGAAATCTTCCTGTGTTTCCGTGAATTCCTCATATATATAATTTCTTCTGCTTTGACTTTTTTAAGTTGGCCCCTGTAGGACAGTGGCAAGAATGCTTTATTTGGCCTCAGAGGCTCTGGGTTTAAGTCTTACCTTTGTGTGACCATGGGAAAGTAACTTCTCCTCCATGGGCCTCAGTTTCCTCCTTTGTAAAATGAGTGGGTTAGATTCAGTGACATCTAAGGTCCCATTCCAGCTCCAGGTCTCCTTTCCAGACGCATCAGGAAACCAAGGTGTCTGTTTTAAGGAGCCATAGGTATTGGTACCACTGGATCATCGTGACTCCAGGGAGAGAGCCTGGGTACAATAAACACTTCATATAACAATATTATTTTAGGCAGAAAAGGAATACATCACCTCCCCCACTGAATGATGAGTTCAAGCTGCTGACAAGGCAGCAGCAACAGTTGATCTCTCTCATCTCATTCCTCTCTCTGATGATGGTGACCTTTAAGAGGTCACAGATACAAGAAAGGGGTAGGAACTGGAAAGAGCTTGAAAAATGATTTAGTCCAATTCCCCTCCTCTGGCGTCAGGAAAACTGAGACCCAGAGAAGCAGAAAGGACTTGTCCAAGGTCACACAGCAAATTAGTAGCAGAGCTGGTCTTTTAGACTAGTGTTGTCAAATTCAAATAGAAACTGATCCCTCCAGGACACATATTGACTTAGAAAATCACAAATTAACATTATCTATGTTGTATTGCATTTTTATTTATTTTGTTAAACATTTCCCAATGACATTTTAATCTGCTTCAGCAGCACTCTGCTTTAGATTTGGAGGCCAATGCCCTTTCTCCAGTGAAATGTCCAATGAGAGGAGAAGTGGGAGAAGTAGAGGATCCTAATCATCAGTCTGCCTGACTTGTTAGTTTCTGGATAGTTAAAAGTTGAGTATAGGTTAAAATGACAAGTTTCCATTGAAGGCAGCAGTGGGATCGTCTGCCTGCCTGACCTGGTGGAAAACAAAGTGGATCTCAACAGGCCGAATGCCCTTCTAAGAAGTCTAGGTCCCTTATAGAGTTTTAGGGTGGAGCTTTGGACTTGAAAGTGACCATGTCATTGGAAGCCTTTTTGCTTCCATGTGGGATACCAGTAAGGCCTCCATATTTCCACATGGGATACCAGTTAGGCTTCCATATTTCCATGTGGGATACCAGTAAGGCCTCCATATTTCTATGTGGGATACCAGTAAGGCCACCATATTTCCATGTGGAATACCAGTAAGGCTGCCACATTTCCACATGGGATACCAGTTAGGCTTCCATATTTCCACATGGGATGCCAGTTAGGCTTCCATATTTCCATGTGGGATACCAGTACGGCCACTGTATTTCCATGTAGATACCAGTACGGCTGCCATATTTCTATGTGGGATACCAGTAAGGACATCATGTTTCACATTTGTAGCAGATTGGCCTTCCTTTGAGTCTGCCCTTGGACATACTTTGACCTCAGCTTCAGGTCCCAAACAGCCACAGTTTTGCTAGGCTACTCAAGTCCAGGACAAATGCTATAATCCTTAGCATTCCTGGACCTATGCTGTCATCTTTGGGGGCAGGGGAGATGGAGGACTGGTAGGACAGCAGGCTACCTCTCTGTGTTCACCCCAGTCCATTGTAAGCAGGCTTGGCTTATGGGTTGTAGGCAGGGCAGCTCTGAGGCATAATTATTCTACAGGTACCATGGGAAGACCATGTGGATTCCCTTGATCACCACTTTGAAGTCCTGCTGTTTTCAGGAAGAAGCGTGCCTCCTGAACAAATGGGGCTCCTGGGATGGCCGTGTGGCAGCTGTGGTGAAGGGGAAATGCTGAATGACTCTGGTGATCAAGGCAGGCAGCTCAGCTGCTTGGTCAGTTGCCTAATTCTGGCTGCTTAAGGCAGACTCTTCTCCCAAATGAATAATGTAGGAAGTTCTGACCCATTTATAGCTCAGCCACATAATCAGCAGAGACAACACACTTATAAACAAGTCTGCCCCAAAGGCAGACAATGGCATTTATGAGGACGGTGGTGATGTTGGAAGGATTGATGTTAATTATGATGATGCTTTGAAGTCTGGGAAAGTACTTTAGAGCATTAACTCTCTGGTACCTCCCAAGGACTCTGAGAAGTAGGTATTGCAGGTGCTATGATCCCAGCTTTACAAATGGGGAAACTGAGTGATTGGTCCCTGCTCATATAGCTTTGTGGTTGTTGTTGTTCTGTCATTTCAATTGTGTCTGACTCTTCATGACCCCATTTGGGGTTTTCCTGGCAGAGATCCTGGAGTGGTTTGCCATTTCCTTCTCCAGCTCATTTTACAGATGAGGAAACTGAGACAAACAGGGTAAAGTGACTTGCTCAGGGTCCTTCAGCTAGTAAGTGTCTGAGGCTGGATTTGAACTTAGGAAGAGGCGTCCTCCAGGCCCAGTGCTCTGCCCACTGCAGTGCCACCTAGCTGCCCTGCTCATATAGCTAGTAAGTGTTAAAGGCAGGATTCAACTCCAGATCTTCCTGCATGCAAGTCTAGCATGCTTTCCATTTGCCCTGGATGCAGTGCTATTTTTAGCCCAGTCAGTATGGCCGTGCTTACTTCCTGTGAGGAAATGCCAGGGGACTTGTCCCTTGTTCTCTGCTACCACCTATGGGGTTAAAGGCTCCTCTTCTGGGGCCAGCCTTGGGAATGTAGCCCTGCCCCGGGCTCCTCTCTCAGCTTCCTCATCATAAAACCCTGATGCTCAGGTTAAAACTGGGCCCCAAGAAGTTCTGCTGAAGCTTGAGGGAGTTGCTGGTTTCTCCCTGGTCCCTACACCCACAAGGCCAGTTAGGTCCAGCCTGGGTGAACCTGTCCAAATATTCTTTTCTTGCCCCTGCCTTAACTTACTCCTTTCTCCTGGTCATGCTCATTTTCAGCTTTTTGGGGTCATTACCTTTGTTCCTCTTCTCCTCCTTCCAGAGAGCCAGGGTAGCAACATGTCAGCCTCTGTTGTTTCCTCAGCAGTCAATTTCTAGCGCACCTCCAGCCCTCCTGTATAATGTATTGACATTGTCATTTAGTGCACACAAGAGATCTCTATCCTATAGCAAGAAGGCCTTTGCCTAGAGGAAGACCTATTCCTCACATCCTACTCCTGTGTCATTGCCTGGCACACAGGAGAGAGCAGAACCTCTCCTATTAGTGACAAACAGAATTTCAGAACCTTAGAGATTATTTAGTCTAACACTTGGACCCCTCCCCCTCACTCCCTTGATCCCCTACCATATTTCAAATGAAGAAACTGAGGCTTGGGAAAATGAAGTGATTAGTCTTCAGTCACCCAGTTAGTTAATCAGGGGTAGAGCCAGGATTAGGACTTCCAGAACCACCAACTTGTTGGACCATGGCCAAGTTCCTCCCGGTCTCCTGGATTCAATTTTCTTACCTACAAAATGAGAGAAGTGGGCTACAATGACCTCCTTCCAATGCCGGCCTCCAGTGTATGTAATTTTGGAGTTTCCATTGCACATGATTCCTCTTTGACAATTTGGGGTGTTTTTCACATGTACCAAGGGAGAGAATCTCATAACACAAATAAAGATGGAAATTAAGATTTCTGTATTACTCGTTCTCCCTAGGGAAGCTTTGCTTCCTTTTTATCTAAGAGAAAAAAGTATGAGCCCAGTAGAGTTTGAGGAAAAAAGCCAGAAGAGATCACATAGTTGAAATGACAAAGGGTACATTGTGCTGAAACGAGTTTTTGGGCCCTTGCAAGTTTCACCTGTGACTAATGATGCATGCTCCAGTTTCATTATTGGTTGGCTCATTTCCCTGGGTCAGGACTTGGAGTCCCCTGATGGAGTAGAAGAGGTTCCTTCTAACCTATTACAGAGTGGCCCTGAAGGCACAGTTTGTTGAAAAGTTTCATTCAATGATCACAGGATCATAAATTTCGAGCCGGAAGGGCACTTAGAGGTCACCTAGTTCAACCTGCTCATTTTACTGAGGAGGAAACTGAGGTCTCGGCCAATGAAGTGAATTGCCTACGGTGGTGCAGGTGGCAAAGTTGGGAGTCAAGCCTATGACCTCCGACTGCATATTCTCAACCACCTTGGCCTTTCCAGTCTCTCTTCGCTGGCTTTCTAAGCCTCTTCCTCCCCGCCCCGATCCCTCTAAAAGGGCCATTTGCTGTGTGCTTATTAATCACTGAGGGAGAATTATCTTGGGAGAATTGCACATGCCAAGTTATGTGAAGTTTCATAAAACCCGAGGCGGGAGCAACTGGTTTATTTACAAAAATGATCACTTCAGCGTTTGAATATTAAATCCAGAAACCTGGGGTCTCTCCCCAGCTGCGACCATAATGCACTGTCTGTTTCAGAAGGGAGCACATCATGGCAGAACAAACCCTAGACATGGGTTTGACGTGTCATAACAACAACAATAATTCTTATTTATATAGCATGGAAGATGTAGCTAATTTGCGGCCTCAACAATCTACCTTTGAGGTAGGGGCCGCTCTTATCCCCATCTTATCAAAGAGAAAACTGAGGCCGACAGAAGGGAAGTGACTTGCCCAGGGTCACACGGCAAGTAAGTAACTGAACCTGGATTTGAACCCAGGGCTTCGTGCCTCCTAGTCCAGCACCTTCTCCACTATAATCATGGTGTTTCTCCATTTAATAGTGAGGTGATCATGGGTGAGTGATGTCCCTTCTCAGAGCCTTAATTTCCTCCTCTGTAAACACAGTGGGACTAATCAGGCCTCATAGTGGAATTGGCGTGACTGTCAAATGAGTTCACCCCCCTGAGTACTATGGGTAGGAATCCTGTTTGTAGCCATCTCATGCTTATGGCTGTGATGGAATCCAGGTAGGACACAGGCAAATGAGACCACCCACCAGCACCAGTCCTGAAACCTAGTTAACAGGAGGGTTTCCAGCACTTTCTCCATATCGTGACTTCCAAAGAGGAAAATGCAAGAGTTGGGGTTTGTCACCCTCTTTGGGGGTGGGGACTCAGAAGCGAGGAGATGACAGGAGGGCAGTGAACAGGAAGGAGAGGGAGGAGAGGCTGTGATCCTCAGCCCTGCCTGCCATTCATGCAGTAGGTGAACTTCTTTGTGCAGGCCTCTAGGTGGAATGAGAATACCAAAAATGTCTGTGAAAACCTGAATGGCTGAGTCCTCCCTCTGCCTCGAGAACCCTCTGAGCCTGCGATTTCGAGTAGCCTTTGGTTTTTCTAACCCTGATGAAGTCAAGTCAAGCCCAGCACTATACTAAGCCCTGCTGGGGAGGCAAAGAAAGGGGCAAACCAAGTATTCATGAAGTACCTACTATGTGCCAGGCACTGAGGATACAAAGAAAGGCAAAAGACTCCCTCCCTGCTCTAGAGGTGCTCCCAGGCTGACAGGGGGGAGGGGGGAAGGGGAGACGACATACCAACAATTGTGTACAAACAAATGGAAGATAGTCACAGAGGGAAGTGAGTCCTGGCAGTGAGAAGGCTTGGGAAAGGCTGCCTGGAGAAGGTGGGATTTCAGCAAGGACTTGAAGGAAGCCAGGGAAGTCAGGAGGTGGCAGTTAGGAAGGAGAGTGGTTGAGGTGGGGAGTGAGAAGGCCTGGAGTGGGAGATGGGAGTGGTTTGTGCAAGGAACACTATGGAATCAGTGTCCCTAGGTCACAGAATACACGGAAGGGAGTAAGGCATGAAAGACCATAGGAGTAGGAAGGGACCTAGTTATGAAGAGCCTTAAAAAGTCAACAGGATTTTGTGTGTGTTCTCGGAGGTACTAGGGAGCCCCTGGAGTTTATGGAATCGGGGAGTGATATGGTCAGATGAGATGGAACTTGGCTCAAATAGTCAAATGCACACATGACACTGGGCAAATCATTTAATCCTTTCTGTGCCTCAGTTTCCTCATACACAAAATGGGGCCAAGGCCCCTTCCAGCTCCAAACTCACCCAAAGGCTGCGGGAAAGGTCAAATGAAAGAATATAGCTAGAGCAACAAGTGTCCATAAAGGGCAGTTGACTGTGCGGGTCTGGAGGTGGAGACAGTTCTCTGCTTCAGGTGCCTTGGCCCGCCAGGCAGCGGCCCAGCCTCTAAGCCAGCCCTCCTGGCTGCCATCACTGGGATTCTTTTTGCCTTCCCATTTGGTGCTGCTTCTGCAAACATAGAGCTTTCCGTTTGCTCTCTCATCGCGTTCTCCTTTGACGGTGCAGGGGGTTGGTGCCAGGAAAGGCCTCATATAAGGAGTAGATGACACTTAAGTTGAGCCCTGAATGGAGGTGAGGCTTCTCCAAGACAAAGGGGAGCCCAGAAAGAGGAGCAGGAGATGGGAGCGATTTGGCTGGAAAGTACTTTGTGAGAGGTAGAAATATCATCATCATGATGTTAGCTAGTATTTACATAACACTTGAAATTTTGAGGAAACTGAAGCAGACAGAAGCAAAGTGACTTGCCCAGGGTCACACAGCTAAGGGTCTGAGGCAGGATTTGATCTTAGGTCTTCCTGACTCCAAGTCCAGCACCTTGACCACCTAGCTGATATGAAACCAATCGGGAAAGGTCGATTGAAACTAGATCGTGGGGGGTTTTCAAAGCCAAGCAGAGTTGGTATTGTCTCGTAGACATAATTGGGAACGGCCGTAGCCTGAACTGTGCTTTGCAGATGTTAGTGTGACAGTTTGGAGGATGGATGGATTGGAAAGGGGAGAAGATGGAGGGAGGGAGGCCAATTAGGAGGCTATTGCAGTAGTCCAGGGGAGAGGCCATGAAGACCATGAGCTGGGGAAGCAGCTCTGCCAGTGAAGAGGAAGAGATGACAAGCGAGATGTGGAGGCCGAGTTGATGAGACTTGGCCAACTGATTGAATGTGGAACATGAGGGTTGGAGAAGAGTCATGGGTGACTGTTATTGGGAACCTGAGTGACAGGAAGGATAGAGGTGAAGGGGAGCTGTGTGACCCCGGGCAAGTTACTTGACCTCTCTTTGCCTCAGTTTTCTTTGCCTGTAAAATGGGGATAATAATACCTCCCAGGGTTGTTGTGAGGATCAAATGAGAGAATGGATTTGTGAAGTGCTGGCACATAGTAGGTGCTTCTTCAATCCAGACTGGCATCATGGAGCACTTGTGGTCTGGCTCCTTCTAGGGGCCAACAACAGCATGGCCCTGGTAACGTTCCCCTGGCCCATGAAGTGAAGAGTGCTTCTGTTTCTCCCTAGTGACAGTCTGGAAAAGTTTATGGAGAGTCAGGGGGCCGCCAATCCAGGAATTCTCCTATTGACGACGAACCTCAGCAAGCCCTTCATGCGACTGGAAAAATACGTGTCTCTCCTCCAAGAGCTGGAGCGCCACATGGAGGTAAGAGGCAGACGGCAGCCCTAGTGGGCCATGTGGAGGGCGCTGGCCTTGGGCCTCCTGCTGGCCTCGTCCCCAGGTTACCCAGCTTATCCTCTCCATGAGGAAACTGAACCAGCTGAGCTCTGAGCACTGTGTAGCGGCAGCCCCAGATTGGGGTTCTCGGCAAGGCCTTTCTCCCCACTTGTCCTGCCCCGGGTTTCCTTTTGGCCCATCCGTGAGCGCCCAAGGCAGCTTAATGAGACCAGGCTAGAACTAGGTGCTGTGCTGCTGCCTTTGGGGCCCTGCAGCCAGGTAGCTTGGGGGCTCCCAGAGGAGCTCTGTTGTTCTTACTCTTGTTTATTGTTTTGACAACTCAATTCAAGCTCTGAGTGTAGTCTCTTAATGTTCGAGGTCGCAGTAAAAATTTCAGGTGCTTCCCAGGGAAGTCTAAAGTCAGAAATGAATTCAGGGTTGATTTCTTCACATGTCGATGTACAAACATGTGACCGTTGACACACGTTCACCTCTTTTCTCCCACTTTGACAATTTTTATTGATCTCTTTCGTTCTTCTGTCTCCTTTATTTCCAAATAGACCCCTTTCCCTCTACTTTCCAGCCTTCTTCATAGAGGATAAGAAAGAGAAATTGAAACAAAGGGCATCAGCAAAACTAGCCAACACATCGACTAAGTCTGACGGTATATACAGTGCTCCATACCTGTAGTGCCCCACCTCTGAAGAGATGGAAGGGCCCACCTTTACATTCGGAGTCTCTGTTTTACCCAGGATAATTGTACTATAGCTACAGCAACCTCATTTGAATAATTGTGACTTGGGCTGAGGCCTTAAATGGGTAACAGACCCTTGACGCTTCTTGGAAATATTTCAGCCAGTAAGCATTTCATGAACACCTACTGTGTGCCTAGTCCTGTGCTATCATGTCTATATATTCTGTGGCTGTAGGTGGGGGAAGAGGGCCCAGTTGAGGAGGTTGCATTTACCCTAGTTGCTCTTCCTGTTGTCTGGGGAAAAGGTTTGAGGTTTTAAAAAGGCTCAGTTAACTTTAAAGAAAGAGTCTGTGTACTTCTTTGCTAGCCCTGCCGTGTGCAAAACCACATTCTCAGGGTACAGGACCTGCCTGAAGCCAGGAGGCAGTGGGGGAGCTGCTGAGTGAAGGCTGCCAGAGTGGGGCTTCCGTTGGGGCTCAGCGAGGAGCTGACCTCTGGCTACCTTTCCAGCAATTGAACTGTCTGAGGCTTGCCCATTGCCAGCTGTGAAAAATCCATTTCTGCTGTCGTTTAGCATTGTGCATGCTCAGGAATGAATGGCCCAGGCTAAGGGAGCAAAAGAAAGCCATAAAAAAAAAAGACCAACCTTTTCCCTGCTTGAACCTCCTCCTTGACTTTCCCCTTCACTAAAGCCCCCTATACCTCCATTTGGTGCATGGCTCCTTCCAGTATCTGATGATAACTCATCTCTAGCTGGGTCTGACTTTCTGACTTTCTTGACAGGGCAGCTAAGCTAAATGGCGGATCAGAACATAAAAGTGACAGCATTGAATACCAACTTCTGCTGTCTTATCCACCCTATTAAATTTGAAAAGTAACAACTTGAATCTAGAAGGAGTCTAGTCTCTTTCTCCCTGCTCCTTCATTGTAAGAACATTAAAAAAAAAAAACAGCAGTAGCACCCAGGAGAACCCTCAAACTAGCCGAGTAGGTCCCTCAGATAAAGCTACTTCAGGTTCAGAGTAAACTGTGGATTTGTGGCCACTCAGAGCCATAGCTCAGGAACCTCCACAATTTGTTTACCTTTACTAGTCAGCTGGGGCACTACAATTAGTTCAAAGCAAAGGCATTTAATGAAAAAGAATATATATATATATATTTTTAAAAATAGCACAAAACTTAAGCCCAGAGGGAATGCCTTTATCTTTCCATTTCTAAAGCAAATTACTGCATTTATTATGCTTATGTGACCCAGTAAAGCCTTTTTGGGCTTTGAGCTTCCTTATATATCTGTCCTGGATCAAAGCCATAGTCCATACAACTTAGTATTCTATCACCAAAGGATGGCCCAAAGGAGAGTGTTTAAAGTTGCCCTTTGGTGACATTGACTTTCAGAAGTTAGAGAGGTAACTCAAATATCTCTGTCTTCCTGTTGTAACTGGCTATAGATCCATCATCTGGGACTTGATCTAAACCTGTCTGGAATCTATTCATATTTTCCACTTTGATGACTTACTTGGGGTTATAATTTCCATGAGATTCTAGGGCCTTGTTTCAGAAGTCATCTTTGGAAGGAAACATTGAAATTTTCCAAGGTGAGTTTAGGTTGGGTCCTATAACATCAGTATACAAACATTTTTGAAAAGCAGATTTGGCTGACTGCTATAACCCCCACACTGCACCCCAAATTCCTTCACTCCTGGCACTCTGGCCCAATGATACCTCCCTTTGAAAGAATCCTTCTTTCTCTTCTTCCTTCTCCTCTTCTTTCTGAATCTGTGATATCATTGACATCAACTTACGGTGTGGAGATTACTGTTGATACAGATTAGAGGTGTAATGTTTGTATTACAATAGTTCTAGAGAATGGCCTGGGAATCCTGAGAAGCAAAGCACAGAATTCTTATAGGGATCTAAATGAAAATGACAAAAGGGGAAACGGGGACTTCTCGGTGACAGAATCTGTGATGTGAAACCAGCTGCCCAATCCTTCTTGTAATGAAAGAGAATGGGGTGGTTCAAAAATTAAGGACTTTCTCTCTTTTCCTAGGAGTCTCATCTAGACCACCAGGATGTTCTGAAAGCTATTGGATCGTTCAAGGCACTGGCGGTAGGTGATGGTCCCCATTTCTGTGCTGCGTCCCTAAAACCAGTGACTCAAAGCTGACACTTTTTTCCAAATGCAAAGGTCTCAAGAGTGGAAACAGTGGGCTTAGGGGCAGTACCACTGGGTTCAGGTTTCATTTAACTTTTGTCTTCTCCATATTCCAAAAAATTGTGCTTACCTATCAAAGCTTGTAAACCTTAGTGTATGAAGTCAATGCATTTTCAATATCTGCCACATAAAGCACCAGTGTGTAGGTGGGGGATTTCCTTTTGTGTCTATCTCTACCCCAGTATAGACCACCTTGTACTTTGTGCAACTCATGAGTCACCGAAATGAGCCTGACATGATTGTCGGAGCCAACTACCAAGAGGCAAGAAAGTGGAAGTTCATTCATAGCAAAGGAAGTAAAAATCCCTCCTAATACCACGAAGGAAAAAAGCGCTTCATGGAGTTTTGGACCTGCCCTTCCAAGGACACCTGCAGTCTCAGGTCTTTGAGGGTGGTCATCATCTTTTTCAGCTCCTTATGCTCAAGTCATCATTTCCCTGAAATCGCCAAGGAAAAGACATAAGAGGATCCTGGGGGAGTGGTCACAGGGACTTTAGGTAGCCAGACTCTGGAGATCTCTCAACTTTAAAGAACCTTTCCTTCTTTCGTCCTCTGGGTACTTTGTGATATAGCATCATCTCTGCTGGTTTCCCTCCTTTTTTTCTTGGCAAGGGAATATTTGCAAGTGATTTACTAATCCCCATCGACTTCAGGACCAGGGGACTGCCTTGCTCAGTGTCTACAGTGCATAGCTTGGCCTGCTTAGCCTTGCTGCCTCCCTCATCTTATTTTGTGCCTTTACCTTATTCCCCAGGGTTCAGATTATAGTCCTTTATTGGTAGGCTATGTTGAATTCTGACCCTTCCACACAGGGTGTTGGTCAAAATTATAGGAGGCTCAGGACTGACCTTGTGATTTCTTCATTACAACGAGGAAGCTCCCTCTACCAGTGGAGACTGGTGCCTTCTCTGTGAATGAGGATTTTTTGAGAGTTGCTCAGATCACTGAGACATTAGGTGACTTACCCAGGGATCCCCAGCCAATTGGGTTCAGAGAAGTTGCTGGCTCCAAGGCTGACTTTTCATCTATGATACCATCCAGTAGCCGTTTCACACATGTCATTATAGAAATGGAAAGAGGACCGGAGCTGCAGTTAGAGGGCCTGGGTGTGAATCCTGCTTCTCTTTCTTGTTGCCTCTGTGACGTTGGTCAAGTTATGGTTTTTTGTTTTGTTTTTGCCTTTCTCGGTATCTCCAGCACTTAGCATAGGGTCTGGCAAACAGTAAGTGCTTAATAAATGCTTGTTGACCAAATGACTTCCCTTTCTTGGCCTTAGTTTCCTCCTCTGTAAAATGAAGGGGTTTAGTTAGATGGTCCTTAAGGTTTCTTCCTGCTCTAAATTTGGCATGTTGCAGTTCACGTGAGGTAGGTCCAATATTCCTCATTTCATGGAGATGCAAACTGAGACCCAGAGAGGGGAAGTACTTTATGCAGTGACAAAGAGTCACAAACTTGAAATTGAAAAAGACCATCTTGTCCAGCCTATCGGTGAACAAGAATCACCTAATAACATACCTAACCTCTGCCCGAAGACCTCATTACCTCCCAAGGTGGCCCAGTCCACTTTGGGGCAGCTTTTACTGTTGGGAAGTTTTTTTTTTTCTGGCATCAAATGAAATTTGCCTTTTTTGAACTCCCAAGCATTCTTTTTAGTTCTGCCCTTCAGGGCCAGGCCAAACAAGCCTTTCCTTTTACCATGTGTGACTCCTTCTAGTACTTGACTACACCTCTCATGGCCTTCTTAAGTCATCTCCTCTCCAGCTCCTTTGACTGATCCTCATATGACTTGATGTCAAGGCCTTTTTTTACTGTTACCCCACCCTCCCCCCCAGTCTCTGTCCACTGGACATCTCCATATGCTTCCTAAAGTATGGTACCTAGAATTAAGTACAGTGTTCCTTCCAGATGTGATCTGACCAGGGCAAAGTACGACACCTACCATCAGGTCCGGGTCATTAGTTTGGGGTGTCATGCCTCTCTCTTTTTTTTTTTTATTTTTTTTTGGCCATGCCTCTCTTAATGCACACTAAGATTGCATTTGCTTTCTTAGCTAACATATTAGTATTGATCCATATTGATCCTGTAGTCCACTGAAACCACCAGATCTTTTTCACTTAGACTGCCTGCTAGCCATGCTTCCCAAATCTTAGTTTCATGAAGTTGTTTTCATTTTTTTACTTAAATGTAAAACATTAATTACTTATTCTTATTACATTTAATCTTATTAGATTTTGACCCATCGTTCAAGCCTGTGAGAATCTTTGCACCAATGTATTATCTGTCTGTCTTTCTATCTCTCTATCTATATTTATCTACCTACTGACCTATCGCCCTCTCTACCTACCTGCTGACTTCTCTCTCTCTCTCTCTCTTCCCTCCCTCCTTCCTTCCCTCCCCCTCCCCCCACCCTGTCTATCATGCCTAGGTCTGTGTTGCTTGCAACTCGAGAATACCATCTGTTCCTTTATCCAAAGCATTGATTAAAATGTTCAGCAGACTAGAACCACATCCGGATCTCTGAGGCACTCCACTGGAGACCTTATTCTATGGTGACATTGAAGCATTCAAGACTATTCTTTGGGCTCAGCCATTTGACCAGTTCTGATTCTGGCAAACTACACAATTGTCTAGCACTCATCTCTCGATCTTTTCCAGAAGAGTAGTTTGAGAGACTTTATCAGTTGCTTTGCTAAGAATTCAGGCACATTATGTCTATAGCATCTCCCTGATCTACCAGACTGGTAGTCTTGTCAAAAAAACAAAAAGAAGGGAGGTGTCTGTGCCTGGCCTCTTATTGATGAAGCCCAGCTGGCCCTCTGTGACCCTTTAATGACACATTCTCGGGTTTTGCCAGGTGTCACAGTGAGATGCACTGGTCTAGGGTTTGTAGATTGCTCTCCACCCTTTTTGAAAAAGAGGGAAGCAGACATTTGCCTTTTTCCAGTCCTGTAGCACCTCTCCTATCATCCCCCATCTTTCAGTGATCACTGATGGGGGCACAGCTATCATTTCTTTTCAGGACCTGATGTTGTTGTCCATCTGGGCCTTAGCTAAGTGCTCGCTTACTGTCTTATTCCCTATGCCAGGTATCACCTCCTCATTTCCTCCTCCCCTCCGTGCTCGTTTCAGCCCAAAGATCATTCTCTTCGGCAAAAAACAGAAGCAAAGTAAGAATTGGGCAGCTTTACCTTCCCAGTAATCTGTCACTACTGATTATCCTCCCAACCACTTTGTACAGAGGTCCTGTCCCTTCCTTGATCTTCCTCTTTTAACCAGCACAGCACTAAAAAAAGAGAGAACAAACCGACCTAATCCTTATTTGTTCCCCCCAGCATGCATCCCTTGCCAGCCTCAACTCGTTGTGAACCTTATCGATCCTGACACTTCCCTGTGCCGTGTTGTCCACTGATCTTCCTCTGCCTGTCCTGGCTTTCAGCTTTTCTTCACGTCTTCTTCACATCTAAGTTGGGTGATGAGTTTCCTGTTTATCCCTATTGGTCCTTTGAGTCTTTTTCTTCTTCATCAGAATTGTTTCTTTTTGTGTCTTTAGAACTTCATTCTTGAAAAATTCCCATCACCCTCGGGCTGACTTTCCCTGTAGAACTTTAATCCATGGGATCCTACTTTGAAACCTGCTCTCCCCAAACACAGAGTGCACATCAGTCTCTGGCCAACTTTCCTCTCTTTTTCTTTTATAAATTCTATGATGGAATGATCACTTCCCCCTACAAATTTCTCAGTACAGTTGCTCCTTGTTGATGAGAGTCAGATCCAGAATAGACGTTCCCCTTTTTTGCTTCCTCTACCTTTTGAAGAATGAAATCGTCATTAAGGCAAGTCAAGAAAGTATTAGTTGTTCCACTTTCAGTAGAGAGAGCTCCAGTGGGTGTCTATATGATTGAAGTCCTATGATCCTGGCTTTGTGGCAGGCTAAGAATGTGTTTCCTCAATGCCTTATTCATTTCTTCTTTCTGTCCGGGTGGTCTGTAGTATACTCCAAATGACAGTGGTGCTTTGCTTTATGCCTCTGTTCATCTTTACCCAAGTGCTCTCTACCATGCTTTTCAAGTCTAGTTCCTAGACTTTTTTTGACACTCCATATAAAATTGTACTCCCCCTGTCTTTGTGCATCTTTATCCTTTTGAATACGTTCTGTCCTTTTGGATCCATATTTCACTTGTCAAGGCCTCTCCCAGAAAGTCCTGGTGACTTCACAGAGGTCACATTTGCCTCCCTGCAGTAGGATCTCTAGTTCACCTTGCTTGTTACTCATTCCTTGGGCATTTGTGTCTAGCTGTCTGAAGCTGTAGTTCTTGCTGCTCCCATCTCCTTTGGATTTGTCTCCTTTGAATTTTTGACCATCTCTACTGCTGTTCTTCCCACATTGTAGCTTCTTCCTATGGTATAGAGCAGTGTTTCTCAACCGTGCTGCAGGGAACCTTGAAGCACCCCAGGTTTATTTTTTAAAACGAATCTTGTATTGTCTGTTAAGAGGCATTAACAAGAATCATTTTAGAGAGTTTTACTGCAAGAATTCTGCCAAAGTTTTGTTTAAATTGAAGGGTTCTGCCACTGAAAGTTTGAGAACCAATGGAATTGAAATTGATGGAAATAAATCGTTTTCTCCTGCCCTCTTCCACGTAGTATAAAGTTCTTTTGATTAGATTTGTAAGACTTTGGGCAAATACTTTCTTAACTGCTCTTGCCCAGTGTATCCCATCCCTGGCCATGGGCCTCACATTTCTGTATTTTGAGCCTTGGTCTAGAGATCCAAAGTTTACTCTCACTTGCCATCTTCTTAACCAGCTGTTCACTTACCAAGCCTTCATTTTTCCTCTGAAACCTTTGCCCTTGATGGGCAGCAATGATGATGACACCACCTGTGTCTCTGAGCTCTTCAGTTTCTTGCTCATTACTTCATAATCTTTGACAATAATTTCTAGGCTCCATTTGGCCATATCCTTTGTGCCTACCTAAATCGTTGAAACTAGGGAGTTGTCATCCGTTTTGATAGATCTTGGAAGGTTTTCTGTCACATCCCAGAGGACAGTAGAGCTCTGTGTTATATGTGTTACCTTGACATATAACTGCCTCCTTCTCCCCTCGGGTGGGAGTCACCAGTCACGCAACTCATCTTTTCTTTCTCTGAGCCATAGTAGATGGATTCTCACCTGATGAGATCCAGCCACATCCTCATTGCTTGGGAAGTGAGCAAGCACTTCCTCCTTAGACGGTCCAGCTCCTTTCTCTATGGAAAGAGCCTCCCTTCTGTTACTTACTCCAAGTATTTAGTGGTCCTGCTTTTTCCTTTTCTCTACTCGGTTCCATTTTAGCCACACAGCTAGGAAGTGAGATAGACAGCATTCAAAATAGGTTTGCCCGACTCTGAGGCTAAGGAACTTTTGGCTATATCCTTTGCCTCATACGGTTTGAGAAAAGATGTGATGATTTCATTGAAGAAGACAGCAAAGGTTTTAGGGAAAGCATGAACTGAAAACAGCCTACCTCATTTAGAACGTAGCTCATGTATGCACTTACTATGGGAAGGATGCCATTGAATTGTTCTCCAATGTTAAAATTTAATAGAATTTTGATGCTTGTGTAGCCATAGCACATAGTTGGCAAACTGGGAGTCGGAGCTTTCTTTCTTTGTCATCATGGAACTGGTTTATCCCAGACTCTCCAAGTTGGAAGAAGTCTCAGAAGTCAGCAGGTATCTGAACAGGAGTCCCTTTCACATCACACCTGATAGTTTCCCAACCTTTGCCTCAAAACCGCCAGTGAAGGGGGAGCTCACCGCCTCTCAGGCAGCCTGCTGCACTTTGGGACAGCTGGAGTCTTTAGGAAGTTTTCTCCCTTACATTAAGTCTAAATCTGTTTCTCTTTATGTACACAACTTTATACTTCTATCCATTGTCTTTTAACTCTGGCCTGTAATCTAAAAAAGGTCCTTTTCATCGTCCTTAGCGTTTCTTGCCAACCCCAGCTCATTCTGAATTACAAGTAATTTTCTTCATCTTCTCCTAAGACAATTTATTGCATTATTTATAGAGACCTACTGCTGGCCTAATTAAAATGTAAGCCATAAAACATGTTTTCATTACGAGATTGATCTGAATGGTGATGACATAAAGACTAGGATTTTCTTTTCAGTCTTTGGGTTATTTTCATCTTATTGTCTGTTTTCTCTCATTTTCAAGAAGCTACGTAGGGACTGAGCAAAATTGAGATTTTAGCCAAGCAGTTGGTGAAGTCATTCATGATAGTCTTGTGGAAAATCTGGAGAGACATGGGCTAGAGAAACACAGTTAGATGGATCTGGAACTGGTCAAATAACTGGATTAAAAGAAAAGTCATTAATGGTTCCATGGCAAAGTGGAAGGAAGTCTCCAGTGGAGTGACCCAGGGATCTCTACTTGTCTCTATGCCATTTCACTTTTTAATCAGTGACCTGCATAAAGGCATTATCAGATGTGCAGATAACCCAAAGCTGACAGGGCTGGTAATGTATTGGATCACAGGGAGGAAATTTAATATGGATATAAAATATATAAAATCTTAGACTTGGTCCAAAAAATCACCTTGGTAAGAATACAATGGGGAAGGCATGACTAGATATAGAGATCTAGAGATATCAGGGGACTGTAAGAGAGCCCAGCATAGGTCAATAGCATGATACTGTGGCCAAGAAAGCAAATGCAATCTTAGGCTGTGTTAAGAGAGACATAATGTCCAGGACTATGATGGTGGTAACACCATCTGGCTCAACCATGGTTGTACTGCTACATCTGGAGTGTTACATTCCATTCCAAGCACTCTGTTTTATGAAGGACACGGATGATATGGGAGCATCCACAGGAGAGCCATCAGGCTGGTGAAGGCCGTTGAATTCATGCCACATGGGGATTGAGCAAAGTAACTGGGAATTTTTAGGTTGGAGAAGAAAAGTCTTAAGGGGAAGCTGATAGCCATCAAGTATTTGCAGGGTGGCTGGCACTTGGAAGAGGGATTAATTAACCTTGTGCTGCTTGGCCCTAGAGGGCAGACCTAGGACCATTGGGTAGAAGTTGCAAAGAGGTAGAATTCTATTTAAAGTATGGAAAACCTTTGCAACCTTAAGGAACATCCTAAAGTTGAATTATGTGCCATAGGAAGTGGTGGCCATCTCTTCCTTAAATGGGATCAAAGAAAGTCTGGATGACCACTTGTTGAGAAAATAGAGAAGAGGCGTGTTCGTGTACAGATTGGATTAGCAACCTCTGATTTATTTTCCTTTGAGCTCTGAGATTCAGTGATCATCTCCCCTCCAGGGGCTTGCATTCTGCACAGTTGTACCTTTCTACCCCTCCAAGGCCTGCAGTGAGTGGGCCAATCTTCTGCCAGTCTTATCACCAAAAATCCTCTCTGACTTGAATCCAGAAAGCGAGTCCCGCTTTGAATGAGAATGGTAACAAAAGAGGCTGTGCTTTGGCTCCACAGGCCCAGTGTCAGGACCTGAGAAAGAAGAAGCAGCTGGAGTTGCAAATTCTCTCCGAAACCATTCAGGGCTGGGAAGGAGATGATATAAAAACTTTGGGCAGTGTCATCTTTATGTCTCAAGTAATGGTGCAGTGTGGTGCCAGCGAGGTAAGAGATGGTGACCTTGTCATGACCCTTTCCTCCATCAGGGCCCAACATGAGGAGTTTTGGTCCAGAAATTTGAGACTTAATTTTTGGCCAGCACTGGGCTGGGCACCTTAGAAGTTAGGGGAGAAACAGAGGAATGTTGTCTGTGATTGAGGAGTTGGTAATTTAGCTGGGAAGGGAAAACAAGCACGCAAGAAACCTCTAGAAAAAATACAGTATAATATTGTGTTCTATACAATATAATATAGGCTGTCCCAATAGTCTTAATGTAGTTTTAAGCTTTAATAACTTTAATAGCTTAAAACCATTCTAAGACTTCTGGGGCAGACTATATCTGTATATTCATGCACATATACATATACATATACATATACAATACACACAGATATGATATTTAGGGGACCCATGAGGCTTTTCCCTGGCCAAAATATAGCAACAAAGCCAAGATGTATTGCTTTTGTTTTTGCTGCCAACACACGTATAGAATAAAAGCAGAAATTCAAGCCTGGAGGATGGAGGACAATGACCTCTTGTTTCCTTTACTTAGATCTAGGTTTTGTTAAAATTCATTTACGTGCCAAGCCCAAGGGGAAATTTTAGTAATTCCTAATCCTAAATCAGATAGTTGTCTGGGACCATGGACTCAGACAGGAGGTAAAAATGAAAGATTTAATCTTAACCTTGGGGCAGTCTACCTGGCTTCTGTTCAGCAACCTCATTTAACCCTCTGTAGGGGTCCTCAGCCTTCAAAAATCCATTTTAGGAGCCAAATAAATCTCATAAGAACTGTGTAGACACTGGGCTGTAAAGTCCATCTTCCAAGATCTTTTGGAGATCTACCTGTCTGTTTGTCTGTCTGTCTGTTTCTCTAGCTAGCTGGTTAGCTAGTTACTTATCTACCTACCTACCTATTGAATGTCAGAGAAAGAGTATCCCCAAGTCCCCAATTAGTTTGGGCACTCAGCATCACAGAGATGCCCTGGTTCCATGTAAATTGGAATCATTAAGGAAGGCTTTTTGAAAGAGGTTGGATTCAGTTGAACCTTGAAGGATGAGATGAATGGTGGCCTGCTAGAGGAGGAGGTTAGTGGAACGCTGGGATTGGAAGCCAGATTGAAGAGTTTAGGACAAAGCTGTTGGAAAGGAAAAACTTGGTGGGGAGTCAGAAGGGCTGGCAGGATGGGGCCAGGTTGAAGGAAGGGGTTGGGTTTTTAGCTTTTTTTTTTTTTTAGGGTAGAGAAGCTCCAAGCATGTTTGAAGGCAAAGGAGAAATAGTTAAGAAGGGACTGTAGATACTGGAACAAAGGCCTTCAGGAGAGAGAAGGCCTGTCATCCTGTCATGGATTCTCGGGCACCAGTGGCTTGAGGAGAGACTTCCTTGGTCCTCAGACTGGCAGAAGGATGAGAAGATGTACATAGAGAGGGAAACTGCTCTAAAATGATTGAATTAGGGAAAGCGGTGAAGAAACGTAGCAAGGTGTGAGTTTGCCTGTCTTTTCCGAGGCCCATAGAAGGCTCACTTTTGGTAACTAGAGGAGAGTTTTGTTTTGGTTTGGTTTTTTTGTGGGGCAGTTGGAGTTAAGTGACTTGCCCAGAGTCACACAGCTAGTGAGTGTTATGTGTCTGAGGTCGGATTTGAACTTAGATCCTCCTGACTCCAGAGCCAGTGCTCTAATAAAGGAGAGTCTTTGATGGTCCTTCTCTAGCCTAGGGTTTCTTAACCTTCTCTGTGTCATGGACCCCTTTGGCAGTCTGGGAAAGCCTGTGGATGAATTCTTTCTCTGAATTGTGTTTTTAAATAATTGGAGGAAATGTTAAATTTCAGTTAGAGGTCAGTGAAAGTGAAGATGGACTTTTATTCCCCATCCCAGTTCATGGAACCCCCCCCCCCCCCGATATCTAGGACCCCAGGTTAAGAAAAATCCTTGTTCTGGTTGGACTCTGCTTAAGCCGGTTCTGTGTGTCTGGATATGTAAGTGGCTGAAAGAATGATAACCCCATTCCTGAGTATTCCAATGCATGCATCATGACCAAACATTTGATGCAGATGTTCTGGTAATGAGCTTCCTGCACTATGTAGTTCATCCCCTTTGCTCTCCTCCCCACTCTCCACCCCCCAGCCTGCCTTCATTTTACCAAGCTCACAAGGTCAGAAATCATTTTTCATGATGTGAAATGAAATCATTGGCGAGTGTGGCTGATTGGCCTGCTCAGTCTTAACTCTGGGGAGTTTCCCAGTCTCCATGCTTAGGGAAGCTACTCAGTGTTTTTGCACATGTAATGGGTGTGCCCTAGTATCCTACTGGCTCCTTGGTATCCCGGGCTGAGGCCTGTCTCCTGGGCCTGCTGCGGGCCATCTTTTAAATGCCAAGTCTAAGGATGCCTGAAGCCTGTGACTCCTCAAGCATCATCTGTGTGCTTTCCAGGAAGGCCAAGGGGAGTACCCAGAGGAGGCACGTTCACACCTCCTCACACTGCAGCAGAGAGAAGCTTAGCAGGGATTTTGACACCTTGGGCAGGAGGTGTGAACATGTCAGGACAGGATCCTGGAGGTGGGATGGGGGTGGGGCAGCGTCAGGGGCAGAAAGACACCTGTTCAAATCCTGTCTCTGATCCTTCCTTTTGTCTTTGAATCCTCAGTGCCTAGTACAGTGCCTAGCACATTACAGGCTTTCGAAGTGGCTTGCCTTTGTGAGTCTCAGTGTCTTCTGTGAAATGGAGATTGTGCTACCTCCTTCACAGGGTTGCTGAGAGGCTTATGAGACAAAGTGCTATAAAAATGGTTGTTATCTTTATAGGGAAGAGAATGAAGAATGAGAAGTTGTGCTCATTTTAAAGTACAAATGTAAGAGCCTGTGGCTTCATTCAGTTTTGAGGAGAATTCCTCTTCATGGACTTGATGTATGCTAGAGGGGGATGAGCACTGGATTTGGGGTCAGAGGACCTGGATTTGAAAGCCATCTCTACCATCTGGTGACCAAGGTCCATGTGACCTTGGGCAAGTCATTTCCCCTCCTCTGGGCCTCAGGTTCCTGGCCTCAGAGCTAGAGCACTAGAGCTAGGATCCTGTGATCCAGTGACTAGAAAATATTCCAGGTATATGGTGTACATATACATGGACATACGAGTGTGCCTTCACGCACATACACATACACGTACACCCATCTCCATCTACATGCAATACGTATATGTACATATAATATACACACATAGACATGTGTATATATTTACTTATATATATATATAAAAAACACATGTATATTTTTAATAACTGACATTTATATAGCCTTTTACGGTTTATAAAACATTTTATACATGTTATCTCATTTGGTCTTTACAACAACCCTGGGAGGTGGGTGCTATTGTTACCCCCATTTTACAGTAGAGCAAACTGAGGCAGACCAAGATAAAGTGATTTACCCAGGATTCACACAGCTAGTAAGTGCCGAGACCACATTTGAACTCAGGCCTTCCTAAGCCCAAACCCAGAGCTTGGTACACTTGCTGCATCACCCTTTTGAATTTTAGGCCATCTTAAGGAACCATACCTGTTTTCTGAACTTCCTGGTTTTCTCTCTCTCTCCCCTGCCTCTGCTCTAGGAGAAAGAAGAAAGATATTTCTTGTTATTTCCAAGTGTTTTACTCATGGTATCAGCAAGTCCTCGGATGAGTGGATTTATCTATCAGGTCAGTGGATGGTTGATTTAGCGCCAGCATCTCTCTTCAGGTGCCCCTGCTCTGCACATATCAAACCTCTGTCATCATCGCTGTTGTCATCATGCCAGTGGCGGCAGTCTGACAGTGCCCAGCTCTTACCCACCCGTCTACACACCTGGGCCTGACTTCCTTAATTGTTAGACACATCCCATAAGGGCAGATAGTCCTTAATTCAAGGCATATTTCGTTTCCTCCTAATGATTGCATCCTGTGTGCTCTTTGCTCTGGCTGTCATGCCAGGTGTCCACACCCGGAGGTCTAAGGGGGTGTCTAGACAGTATTAGAAGCAGTACTTGCCCACCTCACATCGTTGACATTTAGAAAAGAAAAAGGTCACCTTAATGATAGCCACCCTGCCTAATTAGACTCTCCAAGCTGTGCACTTCAGGAACCTTGTTAGACTTTTTAAAAAGGTAGATTTCCCTTGGTCTGTAATCTCAGTTCTTTCAGGGCCCTAGAAACATCCGGAACTCTGGCACCTGGTAGGTAGGCCTCAGACCATCCTGACTTTCAGGAACGACTAATTAGGAATTCTGGCACCTGGAACAAATTTAGCTGTATGTGTTTGAGGTTGACTGGAGACAGAGGTCATGGGCGTTGGAGAGGTTGAGGCATTGGGAGGCCAGGGTGGTTGAAAGGGGATGGAAGCTGCAGTGGAGAAGCCTGCGAGCCAGTCACTGAATTTTGTGGAATGGAGGTCCATAAATGATAGCAGCCAGGACCTGGATAAGACGGAGTGAACCTCAAAGGAAGAGACATGGTTGCTGAGTGATGCTAGCAGAGGGAGGGTCTGAAAGTAGCCACGGGCAGCAAGGAGATGCCAACTCTCCTGGCTCTTTGCATCTGGGGGTGGGAGAGAAGAAGCAGCCAGGCTGGGAAAAGCCATCAAGAGCAGTAGGGGCCTTTAGGAGAAAGACAGGCTCAGGGAACACAAGAAGGTGGAAGGAATGTGAGAGGGAACATTCTAGCACGAAGGGGAGATTTGTGAACCCTACAGAAAGGTCCTAGAGAACATGCTGGAAAATGATGTGTGCGGAAGGCTAGGGACAGGGAAAAGCTCTGACTGAGCTTACTGTAACCTGCCCACCCCCTTGAGCCCAGCCCTCACACTAAGCCTGGCTATCCCTTTCAGTGGGTCCCCAGGCCATGTGGGGCGGCCCACTCTGGTGAGACGACAGCCTCAGGAAAGGGGCGGGATGGCATTTGGCCCTAGCATGTGGCAGCCTGAACCCTGGGCCGGGGAATGAGATTGCTCAGGTTTACCACGGGAAGAAGAAGCGTCGTGCCCCACTTCTTCCTCTCAACTTGGAGCCTCTGGCCAGGCCTCACTCACTCCTGAGAGTTCTAGCTCTGCTTCTCCAAGTTCTGATCAGTACATTAAGAAGAAGTGACAGTCAGTCAGTCCAAAATGAAATGAAGGCTGATTAATAGCCCCAGGAACAAGCCTCCCACAGACTATCTCCCCATTTTTTCCTGTCTTTGAGCAAGTTAAAATTCAGGTTGGAGAGACATGCTGATAAACGAAAGAGGCAGCTTAGCTTCATGGAAGACTCATGTTCCAATCTCATCCCTGCCCCTGCTTAGCTATGTGACCTTGGGCAAGTTAACCTCTCTGGGCTTTACTTCCCTCCTCTCTGAAATAAATGGGTTGGCCTAGTTGGTCTCTGAGGCCTCTTTCAGCTCCACATCCGTGATCTCTTGACCCTTGCATGAAAAGCTCAGCAGTCAGTTCCTGAGAAAGTCAGAAATCATAATGAGAGTGAGTGGGCCCTTGGAGATCTGGAGTCATCAGTAACCCCTTTTCATTCTGGCAGGGAAAACTCCCAGTTGCTGGAATGATGCTAACAAGACTAGATGAAAGTGAAGGCAATGACTGTTCGTTTGAAATAGCAGGTCAGTACTGCATGGCTCCATTGGAAGGGCGGGGTGGCATTTGGCATGGGGGTGGCAGCAAAGCTGAATCTTCCTGGATTTCTGAGGGGCAGAAAGATGGGAGAGGAGTGAAATCGAAAGTCTCTCGCCTTTTCCTGATCCAACACCCCCCTCAGGGGCAGCTTTCTCCATGAAGCCTTCCCCCTTCTGGCCCAGTGAGAGCAGGGATCTCACCCACCGCAGTCTCTCAGGCCTCTTGCTTTGTTCAACCCTTTCCTATGTACTCACCCCATCCTAATTTGGGTCTGTGTCTTAGCTCCTCCATTAGATAATAAGCTCCTTGAGGTCAGGGACTCAGGTTGTTGGGTTTTTCCCCCTATTTGTATGTCCGTTGCTTAGCACAGCGCTTGGCACACAGTGTGTCGTTGAGAAATCCTTTTTCATTGATTCAGTCAGCCATTGGACCACTCGCACTCTGCAGAGTTCAGCGCGTGACAGGTGCTTCCTAAATGTTTATTGAACTTAATTAAGAGCTATTGAGGCAGAACAAAGGTGACCGATGGCAGCTTCCTGTCCTTTCCTGCCGTCCATCTTCAGGTGGAAGGCCTTAAAAGGCCCGAAGTCTGGAAGCAGGAAGCAAAAGCAGGCTGTGGATAGGCTTGGTTCTCACCCAGCCTGGGAGAATGCAAGATTTGAAGGGAGGGGAGGGAGGCATGCAGGAAGGGAAGATTCCCTAGCAGCGAGAACTGTTCCGACAATGGAATGGACTCCCTTGGGGGGGTGGGGGAGTCTGCCGAATCATAGAACTTTAGGCTCAGAGGGGACTGTGGTGCTCATCTGGAGACTTTTTAATGGTGGAAAAAGCTGGAACATCTGGGTTCACATCCTGCCTCAGACTAGCTGTGTGACCCTGGGCAAAGCACTTAACCTCTCTGGGGCCAAGGCAAGTCTCTGAGGCCCCATGTTACAGAATAGTGTTCAGACTAGATTGGTGGCAGATGTTTCTGCACTGGATATTCTCTATACTAAAAAAATTAAAACTACAAGAGATAGCATGGAGGACTAACCTTGGCATCCAGAAGCCTTGGGTTCAAGTCCCGCCTTGGGTGTATAGAAACCGTGTGAGCTTACAGGGCCTTAGGTTGAAATGACAGATAAGTTGTCAGTCTGTCTGTGGAGGGAATTTCCACACTGGGACTTGCCTAAACTGATGAAATCATCGGTCTGAACAACAACTAAAAAAGCATTCAAATCTGTGATCCAGAGAGATGTTTTCTCTTGGAGTTTCACTGTCTCTTTAAAGGAATGTAAGGAACAAAATATAAGATGTGGCTAGAAAATAACAAGGTGGTTTCTGTGACCCACAACACATTCTTTGAGGAGCGGCAGCTAGGTGGCGCAGTGGATGGAGCACTGGCCCTGAAGTCAGGAGGATCCGAGTTCAAATCCGGCCTCAGACCAAACACTTGACACTAGCTATGTGACCCTGGGCAAGTCACTTAACCCCAATTGCCTAAAAAAACCCCAAACAAACAAAAAAAAATCAAACATTCTTTGAGGAGAACTTATGAATGAAGGTTAAATGAATGAAGCATTTATTATGCACCTACTATGTACAAAGCACTGTACTAACACTGGTGATGCCCTCCTAGAGCTCACGTTCTAATGGGGAGGTTTCAGCTGCATGTCAGATGGATAGGCTCCATGGTCTCTAGGACAAAGCAGATGGTCAAGTGTCCTCTTTAATGTTGTTCTCACTGATAAAATGAGAGCAGTTTTGGACATGGAACCTTTTGGCAGTGCCAAGGACTTTTGGAAGGCCAGAGCTTTCCTTTCCGGATCTCCAGGAGCGGTGGCTCCTGCTCCTCTCGGAGCAGTGGCCAGGGCTTCGTGGGGCTAAGAGTCATCCCCACACAACTCCTTCATTAGTCACCTGTGGCGGGGCCAGTGGCCAAGGTCGGCTCACCTTCCATGTCTTCCCACTTGTAGGCCCCCTGTTCGAGAGGATGACGGTGTTCTGTCCCAGCAGCCAGGATCTCCAAGAGTGGCTGGATCACCTGCACAGACTGAACAGGGGCACTGGTGCGGGCAGCGTGCTTGTGAAAACCCAGTCGTGGAGTGCGCCATCTGTAAGCACTGGGCTTAGTTCTGCCCCTGGGGAGTCTGATGAGGTCCAGGTATCGATGAGTTTCTCTGCTTCCACGGCAAGTCCCGTATGTCGCCCTGTGTGTCGAAGACTTCTGAAAAGCCGCCAGCATGTGGCCTGTGTTTGTATATTGCACCTTATACTGATTTTTGGCAGGCAGGAAACTTCCTAACATAGACAATGAGACACACTAACACGCAGCCAACAGTAGCAATGTAGACACTAGTTCTTAGAGATTTGTAGTTTGGTCACCTGTAGCTAGAAATGTACTGTAACAGCAGCTAACAGCTCATGGTTTCCAACAGGAGTTTCTGCTTGGGAGTGTCATCAAATGAGCCAGTTTTATTTGTGAACAGTCACAAGCCCAATAACAATAGTAACTCACATCTCTATAGAACCTTGTAGTTCCCTAAGCCCGTTCCTCACAGAAGCCCTGTGGGGATAGCTAGCACTCACGTCATTAGGCCCATTCTACAGAGGAGGAAACTGAGACTCAGCAAGGTTAAGCAACTTGCCCAAGCTCATACAGTGAACAGGGGGTCAAGCCAGTGTTTGAACATTATGTTCTGACTCCCCCTTGGGTGCTTCTCCTCCTCTCTTCCTCCCTCCCTTGCACAGAAATTATAAGTGCTTGTACTACATCCCTGCTGCCTCACCTTGGCTGTCCCTGTAATTTATTCTTTTGCTCAGCAGGCCATCCTTGAGTAGAGAGTTCAAAGGGAACCAAAAAGTGACCAAAGATCACCTCCTGGAGATCCAAGGAGATCTACCTCCAAGTTCTGATCTCCCAAAATCCAGATTAATGAGATGATTTCTCTACCAAATGAGAGGCTGTGACTTGGGGTGGCCTTGGAAGTCAGATTCGGGAGGCCAGTATTGCCCATATCAGCTCTGTTTTCTTGCTCCAAGGAAATAGAGCCTGCCTGAAATCCTAAAAAAAAAAAAATTAAATTAAGGCTTGAGAAAACAGATAATGGATCTCTTGGATGCGTTAGTCCGCATGGTAAAGAAATCCCATAATCTGGGATGGGCAAATTGAGTGGTGAAGCTCTAGGAGGCCCTTCTCCCACTTGTCCATGGGCTAACTTATCTTCCCCTTTCCCTTTTCTGGGGTTAACTGGGCCAATGTGGTAGAGACAACGAAACCAGCCTGAGCAAGCAACTTCCTAATTCTGGGCCTCTGTTTCCCCACCTGAAAAATGAGGTGGGAGCTGGTGGTAGACTAGATATTCTCTCCAGCCCTGCTGTCCTCTGTTCTGTGCCTGTGACTTGTTCTCTCCTCATGTACTTTATGATAGTGTTGACATGGCAGAATGCCAGCATCTCATGAGCCATTTTCCTAGTCTTCTAGCGCTGCCGGACAACCTCGAGGAGCCCTGGAGCCTCCCCCAATTCAAAAGCCTTGGAGTTTAAGTTGTCTCAGACCCGCACCTCCTCTTAGACCTTCGGCAGCTCTAGGTTACAAAGAGGTAATCTCGCTACAAGTGGTCTATGTCTCAGTGTGGAGAAAGGAGTTTCAGGGCCGTTTCCCTTTGCCAGAGGGTTATTCGGGGGATGGGGCAACATTTCTGGGATCCCACACACTTTGCTAGAGCCCAAGAGGCAGCTCTTCATTGTCTTCACTGTTAGATTTACTGACTGCCCAGGCTCCCTCTGGGAGTCCGTGTTGTGTGCCCTGATTATTTTGTAAGTGCCTAGGTGCTAAGCACAAGGGCTTCCAACAGCAGACCTACTTGGGACCTTTAATGAACTATCAAACTTTAAAGTGGTCTTTGTAGTTTATGATGTTAGACACCTCACTCCCAAGTCTCAAATAAGAAACAGAGGCGGAGTAGGATGGTGATAAAGGGTGCTCGATTTGAGATCAGGGAACTTGGATTCAGATCTTGACTTTGTCACTTATGAGCTATGTGGCTTTGGGCAAATCCTCTCCCCTCTCTAGGCCTCAATTTCCTTGAGTGGGGCTTGAGCCCTCTTTCAGCATTCTTGCTTTTCAGCAACTGTTTCTCAGCTCCAAACATGGAGACTCCTGGTGGGGGGTGGGGGGGGGCGACAGATTGCTCATGAGTCACCTGCTTAGAGATGGCAAAGCCCATTCAGATGGGCAGGCCAGAAACAGGAAGGTCAGAATTGGGAAGTCAAGGCCCAATGTACTGTAAGAGGCAAGGAGAGAGGATTCTCTGTAAGGGCTTTCGCAGAAGAAAAGAAGGGGGACTGGAGCTTCTTAAAGTTAAGCCCAGAGAGCTTGCTGGGGATTTCACCCTCCTGTTCCTGTTCGGGTCGTAGCCAGGAAACCCCAGCCACCAGCTGACGTAGCCCGTGTTCAGTTTTTGCCTTTCCCAGCCCATCGGAGCCTATCTCCCTGACCTGTTTCTAGTCTTGGTTTCCGATTTCAGAAAAGATGCTCAATCACGAGTAAAAGTTCCTTTTCCAGGTCTGATTCAGGGCTGAGTACACCTGTTTTTGTCAGCTGGAAGCAGCCTTCTTGGGGGGGTGAGGGAAAGCGTCTCTCTGGACGGCACTCAGGCTATAGAACACAGTTTAGCTCCACTCCACGTCACTTTCATGTAAGACCGGACATTTGGCTGCCTTGCCAAATGCGTGGCTTCAGCACTCAGAGCAGAAAAGAGCAGAAGAAAACGGGGGCCCCTTAGGACTCACTGATCTCTTTTTCAAGGCCAGAACCTGAGTTGACTCTTCAGTTTACATGGGTCCTCAGGAGGGGGACTGAGAAGCGTTCCATTTGCTCTGGCTTCATCAAAGTCATCCAGGGGTCCTCTTTTGAAGATGACCTGAGCACAACGGCCTTATGTTTCCCAGCAGTTTCTCTCCTCCTTGTCACACTTTTAAGTATTCTGTGTCCATTAAACCATTAAAACGGGAGAGAGCATGGGCAGGAGTCACATGGGATGGACAGGCATGGATGGGTTGTGATATGCATCTTTGGAGGGGCCGGTCACGTCAGTGGTAAAATGGTTAGGTTCTGGGTAAGGTAAAGAGCCCCAAATCCTCCTGCACACAACTAATCTATTAAACCCTGAGGCATGAGCCTTTTTTGTCCCCCTGCTGGAGGGAGTGGGTTAATGTGTCTTCAGCACGGAGTGCTCAACGTCTGGGATTCTGCACGGAGCTGCATTCCTTGGGCTAGTGCATGATTTTTTCAGTGGAAAACTAACAGGGAAAGCTGTGAGAATGGTGGTGCCCATTCCTGAGGGGCTAAGGGCAGTACTAACATTTCACTTGGCAGTTTAAGATGATTGCGCAGTGGACTTGGCTGGTGTAACAATCAACCTTTCTCACACTTTTCTTCTCTTTCTTTACATATCCCTTTTTAGAGGATGTCTTATATCTTAAAGGTAAGGGTAGCAAGTGTCCCCGCGGCCTTACTGTGACTTCCTAATGCTTGCCCTGCCTTACTATATATCTCCTCCTAATGCACGAAGCGCTTCCCCTCTGTCAGTACTTGAGAATGTAAGCCCGCCACGGTGAGTATTTGGGAGATCTGTGCTAATCTGGCCCATGGCCTGCTTGCTAAACTGTCCTAGAACTGCTGCATGGCATTCCCCTCCCTCCTCTCCCCTCCCCCCATTGTTTTCAAGTCAGAAAGGGTTAACTGTGGCTGGGGAAGAAAATGGGGTCTTTTGGACCTTCCGAAGGTAGCACATGATTGAATGGCAGTGGGAGGGAGTTGGGGTGGGCCAGAAGGAAAGCTGTGACTGAACCTACTGTTTCATTAGGGTAGGGATCTCCCCGTGTGTAAGTTTCCTCCACCAGTACAGATTGGCAACTCATCTAGAACTCATGGGACTTGCCAAACAAGGCCATAGTAAGTGTCAGAGACAGGACTGATAATATACTACCCTACAGGGGACAGGAGTTTGGGTTCAGTGACCTCCAGGTCTCTTTCAGCTCTTAGATCCCAATCGATTTCTTCCAGTGTGATGATGGACAAACCTTTCCTATCTCCCTTGTGCCAGTTTCTCATTTCGACTTAGGAGTCAGGCCTGCAAATCTGTTCCTTTTCTGCCTGTTGACATAGGAGGTGCCAGATATGGCTATGTACATTCAGTCACTTAGAGTTGGGGGAAACGTTGATCAGGCCACCAGAAGCCAGGCCTATGCACTAAGAAGTTTTTTATTCAGTTCCTGTCTCTGACACGTTGGTGGAAGTCACTTAGCCTTGAGGCAGTGAAGCCTCAGTTTCCCCATCTTGGCATGAAGACTAGAGAATTCTTACCAGAATGAATCCTTTAAACCTGCTTGAAGCTTCCTGATAACCCCAAATCCAGGCCTCTAACCCCAAATCCAGGCCTCTGGTAACGACAACAGACATGAGCCTCCTGGGGAGCCTTGCCATTTCTCTGTTTGCAAAGAGATCCTTGGGGGACCTACGGGGCATTGCCTTCTCGGGGCCTCTCTAGCCACCTTTCTGGGTGTTTACTCTGGGGAGTGCTGGGAGAGAATGTGGGTGGCCTCTCTCTTCAGTGGCTTCAAGCTATCCTGCCCTAGTGTGGATGGCTGGGCAAATGCAGGCAGGGGCCTTATCATGGCACGTATTTGTCTTTTTGACCTTGAGTTCTGCCTTTTTGGAAGGAATTACTATATCAGGAACATTCTGTCCCTCACAGGATTCCAGCAAGAGCCCTAAAACAATGAAGAAATTTCTCCATAAAAGAAAAACGGAGAGAAAAGCATCGGAGGAAGAATATGTCATTAGGAAAAGTATGTGCTGTGGGCAGGCGGACAACGTGGCGTAGGGATCCTCAGTTCTGAGTAATGCCACCTGTGCCCACTTATACCTACGGCTCTAGGAATGAGTAGAACCAAAGAGTGGGCATGGCCATGTACTGGTGGAGGAAGCAGGAGATTAAAAGGCACTTTTGAATGTGAGGGGGAGAAGGGGATGAGGAAAGGAATAAAAGTTGATATGGTGCCTACTGTGGCCAGGCCCTGTGCCAGGGGCTTTACAAATATCATCTCATTTGATGCTCACAACAACCCCGGGAGGTAGCTGTTGTTATTATTCCTGTTTTACAAATGGGGAAACTGAGGCAGGCAGCGGTGAAAGTGACATGCCTCAGGTTCACACAGCTGGGGAGTGTCTGAGACTAGATTTGGACAGGTCTTCCTGACTCCAGGTCCAGTGCTCTGTCCACGGGCTGCCACCTACTTGCTTCTTTAGAGAAAAGTACGGATGGCACCCTGCTACTAGTATTGGACAGTGTATGGTGCATGTGTGGGTAGCTGCATCAAGGCAGTCACATGAAAATTCTATGCAGTATTATGAGGATGGGCATAGCATAGTGCCTAGAGTGCTGGGCTTGGATTCAGGAAGGCCTGAGTGCAAATCCTACTTCTGATACTGTGTGGTCTTGGGCAAGTCACCTTCTTTCTCTGGGCCTTAGTTTCTTCCTTTGTGAAAAAGGGAGTTGAACTTGATGACCTTGGAGGTCCCTTTCAGCTCCAGCTCTATGAGCCCATTACCCAGTGACCCTCAGCCAAAGCACTGAGGCCTTCCTTGTCCTCAGGCTCCTCAGCTGTGAAATGGGGTAGATGGACTAGACTGGGGGCTTCTTAGATTTTTTCCACTCATGACCCATTCAGTGCTTCTTCACAGTTTAAGAAGATAGGTAGGTCCCTTTGGTCCTACCAAGGTCGCTGGCCACCTTTTTTCCTAAAGCTCTTCAATCACTAAGATTCTCCAGGGACCAGAAAAGGAAACTGTAGTGGGAGACAATGGCAAAAGTAGGCCTGATTTGGAGTTAGAGCATTGGATTCAAATCTTGACTCTGTACCTTACTACCTCAGGTGAGCCATTTCTCTTCTTGGGACCTTCAGAGGCAGTGTAGCATAGTGGCTAGAGTTCTGGACTTGGGTTCTGGAAGGTCTGGGTTCAAATCCTGCCTCTGACGCTTGGTGATCCTGGGCAAGTCTGTTCATCTCTCTCAACCTCAGTTTCCTCATCTCTAAAATGGGTTGGTAAGGAGATTGAATGAATGACAGGATATATATAAAATGCTTTGCAAACCATAGAGCGCTATAAAAATGCTAGCTATTATGATAATGGCATAAGTAGCATCAGTACGTGTGGACAAACCCAAGTCTCACACAGTAGGTACACATATAGCATCACCTACAGAGTTGAACATAGTGGCCAGAGATTGCTGCATGCTAATATGTGAAAAAGGAGCATGATACAGCAACAAAAGCACATGACCCCACAAGGAACAGGTCAGACCCAGTACGTTACAACATGTCACAGCCACAGACAGTCCATGTACCCTGGAAATGGGCACTGTCCAGCTGCATAAGGCAGCTGCTTTTCCCCTTTCTTCCAAAGCCTCTTAAGGAAGCTCGGTCCCTGACCAAGGCCTTTGACTGTGGCCCCCTAAATTTGTGGGGGACCCAGGCTCATCATCAGCATCCCCACTGTCCCCGGGCTCTGTGGATGCCCTACATTCCCTAAGACCTTCTGCAGCCAGAATATTAGGTTGGAAAAGGGCGGCTAGTTATATGTGTAGGCTTGAATTTTATACCACAGTATAAAGGTAGAGGGTGGCCAGAAGGGTGTGGGGGCAGCTAGGTGACGCTGTTGTTGATAGAAAGTCAGGCCTGGAGGCAGGAAGACTCATCTCCCTGAGTTCAAATCCTGCCTGAAACATACTAGCTGTGTGGCCCTGGGCAAGTCTGTTTGCCTCAGTTTCCTCCTCTGTCAAATGAGCTGGAGAGGGAAATGGCAAGCCACTTTGGTATCTTTGCCCAGAAAACCCTAAGTGGGGTCACGAAGAGTCAGACACGGCTGAAACGACTGAACAACGACAAAAGGAGGGTGGGGAGAGGTGTGATGCCTTTGAGCCAAGACGCTCTCTTGTACCTTATGGGCATCCCAATCAGATGTCACTTGGCTTCATTTTTGTGGGGAGTCTTTCTGGCTTCCCCTCCCAAACCCACAATTGTAGGGTGTCCAGAGGGCTGTGTTCTATAGCCAGAGCTTTCCCTGATAGATGAACTAAGTTTCATGAGTGAAACCTTCTCAGAATCTGAGGATACTCTAGTGTTCTGCGAATTGCCTCAGTTTCCTTATCTGTAAAATGGGGATCATAATAGCACCAGCTAATTAACGAGATAATAATTATAAAACACTTAGCACAGTGCCTGGCACATAGACGCACTATATAAATGTTAGCACTTATTAATTGCCTGAAAAATTAGCCACAGAAATGTGGCTCCCACTGGAAGAGGGCTGGACTTAAAATTCTCAGTGTGTACCGTGTCTCCCAAGCAATGACAGGGGCAGTCTGGCCATTGGTTCCATCTCTGGCCCAGAGAGCTCCTGGGCCTTTAAAGGGACATGAAACACATGGGATAAGGAAGTGTCTGTGACACTCCTTTTAGCTCAATCCAGTGAAATCAGATTTTGGGCCCAGGTGCCGTCAGAGACCCTAGATTTGGTTACATGGGCAGCAGGTCCAATCAGATCCCACTCCAGCTCCAGGTTCCACCCCTATTTCTAGGAGTTCACATGTATGTGTTTTAAGCCTTGCAGGGTGCTTTTCACTTACTACCTCATGACAACCCTGAGAGGTAGGTGCTCTTTTTGTCCCCATTTTACCGAGGAGGAAACTGAGGCCCAGAGAGGTAAATGAAGTGACTTGCTCGAGTGGTAAGTGGCAGAGGTGGGATCTGAAGCCAGGTCTTCCTGACTGGGTCCATTGGTATGGGGCAGTGGGGAAAACACTCAGAGGGGCGGAGTTCAGATCAGGTCACTTCATTTACCTCTCTGCGCCTCAGTTTCCTCCTTTGTAAAGTAAGGGTGTTGTACTTGGATGGTCCTTGCAGTTCCTTCTAGCTTGAGAGCTATGATCCTTTGTTCCAGAACTCTCTCCACTCTGCCCCATAGCCTGTGGGGTACCCATGGAGTAATGGGGAGAGAGCCCTGCTCTTGGGGTCAACCAGATCTGGTGTTGCATCTTGCCTTAGACACTCAGCTCTGTGACTCTGGACAAATTCTTTTGCCTTTCTTACCCTCAGTTTCCCCATCTATAAAATGGCAGTAATGATAGCACCCACCTCATAAAATGTCCCCTGTCTCCATCGCCCAGGCTGGCATTCCCCTACTTTACTCTTGCGCTGTGAGTTGGGGCTCGAGAGAATTATTGTTATAGTCGTTATCGTCTCCCACCACAAGCACCGCGGCAGGTCCTGTTGTACAATGATGTCCAAGAGGGAAGCTAGGGGGTGGGCGAGTCAGGGGTTGTGCTGTTGGGCTGGAACATGGATGGAGTGAAATGGGGAGAGGTGACCTTGGAGCAGCCATTTAAAGGAGGACATGGTACAGCAGAAAGAGCGCTGGGATGGGGAGTCAGAAGACCTGGGTTCAAATCCTGCCTCTGTCATTTACTACCTGTGTGATATCGGGCGAACCTCTTAGGGCCTCAGTTTTCTCATCTGTCAAATGAGGGGGCTAGACCAGATAGCTTCTGATGTCCCTTCCAATTATAAATCTGTGATCCTGTGACCTCTCTGGGCTTCAGTGTTTTCTGTGAAATAGGGGAATGGGAATACACTTGAATGACTTCGAGCTCCCTGCCCACTCTCTATAGTTCCATGAGGCTCCTGTGACGTGACCCAGTGGACAAGAAATGCTTTCTCTTCTGCCAGGGTCTCGAGGGAAAGGGCAAAGGCCTGGCTTGGTGCTGGTGCAGCCCTGAATCATGGCTTCTCCCTTGTTCCCATCAGCCAGAGGGACGGTACCCCGTGGTGTAGGCCCAGGGCTGCTTTGGAGGGGTGTTTGCAAAGTGATGACTACTTCTCCCCTGCCAGGTACAGCAGCCCTGGAGGAAGATGCCCAGATCCTGAGAGTGATTGAGGCCTACTGCACCAGTGCCAATGCAGGCCTTCAGCAAAGCCATGGCTCAGGTACGTGTTCCTCCCCTTAGGTATGTATCCCCTGCTCCCCAACACTGGGGAGCTTCTCCATGAAGGCTGCCTCTCCCGAGATGCAGAGCCATGTCACTGGGTGCATAGTGTGACCTAAGCGGTCGTCAGGAAACAGGAGTAGTGCAGGCTACACAGAGGACTGGATCTTGAAGATAAGGCTGTTGTAGCAACTCAGCCCTTTGTTTACGCGTTGCTCAGCTCCACCTAGAGAGAGGCAAAAGAGTGCAAAAACTGGAGGTGATAAAAATGAAAAAGACAAAAAAAAAAAAAAACCCAAACTTTTTTTAAGTGCTCTTTCTTTGAAGTATGCAGATACCCTCACCAGCTCTTGTTAGGAATTAAAGAGCCCAGAGAGTGCCTGTGTCTGTGAACAGATGCTAATCTCATCTTCTAGGCACATTTGGAAAGGAAGTTAAAATACTATCTTTGATCAGTTGCACATTTTCGAGAACGAGGCTTGATCAAACCTCGGCTTTAGAGCTGTTCTGAAAATCTGGAAATAGTGCCTTCTATGCAGGTGCTGTTGGAGAAAGGGCAAGAATTAAGTCAAGGAGCATTGGCTTTTGGCCTGACAGCGGCCAGGGGCCAGCGGCATTGGCCAGCATGAGTCAACCATCCTTTCCATTCCCACTTAGCTTGTTTTTCAAAGGTTCTTGTTCTCTGAAACCATAGCAGTATGAGAGACATAAAATACTGGTCCTGCACCTACTGTGGGCATTTCACTGTGGGCTAGGCATTAGGGGAGAGCCAAAGGTCAGTGAGAAGGAAGGTCCCTTGCACTCCTGGCACTTACAGTCTAGGAGAGAGTGTGAGTAAATGCTGACAGGTATTTGGTTAAGTCTTCTCTTGTGGCTTCTCTGTCTGAGATGCCTGAAGAGGCCGAGCACATATTTGGGGTTAAATATGATTGGTTGCAGAGGAGGTAGCGTACCCTCTTGTGATAGCAAGTGACCTTCTCATCCACCATCCTTTTTTTTTTTTTAATGGGGGGGATGTTTTCTTAATACTCTTTTCTTACTTGCTGTCACTTCAGTGACTGCACCAGTAGAACCTGACAGAGGAGGACAGTTAAGAAAAACAAACCAACAACTTGTCCATGTGTGACAAGGCAAGCCTTATTCTGTACCTGTGGCCCCTCACCTCTCTTGTTGAGAGACGGGAAGTACTGCTGTGCTCTTTGAAGAGGGTGTGCTGTGTGTAGCCTTCCCAGGCCCTGAGTCGGTGCATCAGTTAGGTGCTCTTGGGCACACTGCTCTGTCCATGGTAGCCTGCCCGCTCCTGCCCCAGAGCTCACGTTTAGGGATAGCAGAAGGGACTTGGCGTTCTGCACAGCATTTCAGCTGATGCTCCTGCTCCTTTTCCTCCTTCCCAGGTACCCGCAAGGACTCCGTCCCACAGGTCTTACTCCCAGAGGAAGAGAAAATTATCGTGGAGGAGACAAGAAGCAATGGGCAGACAGTTATAGAGGAAAAGTAAGTTGAGCGAGAGGTCCCTGATTGTTTTGGTACAGGGCTTGGAAAGGCCTTCCAGCTGCTCATGTGCCCGCTTATGCCACCTAGTAGGGCACCCTGGGAAAAGTGTTGGATTTGGGGTCTAAGGACTGCTGCTTGCTACCTGGGTGCCCTAGGGCGCCTCACAGGCCTGTGTTTCCTCCAGTGAGAAATGAGGAGGGTAGAATAGATGGCCTCTGAGGTCTCTTCCAGTTTTAAATTGCCTGAAATTTTTGCTGGGGCCAGGGAGGAAAATATCTAGTTGTCCTTGTTGCGTCCTAGCCCATGCTGGGCTCATTTACATGGTGGAGAAGTCAAACCCTCCTGGGAGTGCAGTGGCATCTTGGTCCCCTCTCTCCCACTTCCTTTGAAGCCCTCCACTGAGCACAGAGCCTGCTGTCTGACAGTTCTCCCTGGAGCTCTATCCCAGACTCAGGCCACGAGGAGAATCATGGCAGCCTGGCCATCCCAGAGGATGTGTGAGCAGTGCACAGTCAGGCTTCTGAAGTCCTTGGGGGCCTCTGATAAACCCATTTACTTTGTAGTTTGAGTCAGTGGTGGAAGGAGGTTTGCGTTAGGGGCAGCCCTCCCCAGCCTGGTTCTTTCTCAGGCTGGCTCCTGATGTCAGTAGTATGTATGGATTCACGTGCATACAATGCTTCAGCCAAATTTGACAGTGTGGTGGTGTCAGAAGTTGGGCCGTCTAGTTACTGGGTGGCTTTTGTGGACTTGCCTGTTTTAAGGGGCAAAATGTCTTTTTTTGTAAGATCATAGAAAGGCAGAGCTAGAAGGGGCCTAGAGATCCAGTTTAGTTCCCTTGTTTTACACAAGATGGACCTTATGCCTCCCCCAAGGACACACCGTGAGCCAGTGTCATCTGCTTACTTTGTTCCTGATCTCCTAGCAACCAGACCCATGTGATGAGGGTAAAGAAGCCAGGCGGTCCCTGGCAGAATGGCAGAGGTGGAAAAGTTGGGCTTTTGGCTCCCTGGATGCTTTGAATGGGTGCCCTGTGGCCTGGCCCCTCTGCCACCCCAGGCAGGGCGGCTTCAATCCCAGCAATTTTCAGGCCTGCCTTTCATCCCCTCCATGTTCTTTGTAGTGTTTTCAAGAGGAACCCTTCCCTAGTCCCCATCTTTTCTCGGTTTTGATTCTTCATGGTTCGTGGAGTACTTTATACTCATCATCTCCTTTAATCTTCACAACAACCCCACTGGGGGAGGCAGAACAGGGATTATTAACCCCATTTTCCAGGTGAGGAACCTGAGGGCCAGTAAGGTCAAGGGATTTGTCCAGGGTCATACAGCTGGCACGTGGCCAAGTCAGGATTCAAACTCACATCATTCCCACTTCCTTGTCCAGTGATCTTCCCAATGGGAGAAGGCTGAGGAAGGTACTGGGTGTGTCAGTCAGTCAGTCAACATTTATTAAGCTCCTTCTATATGCCAGGCACTGTGCTAAGCACTGAGGATACAAAGACGGGCAAAAGACAATCCCTGCCATCGAGGGGCTCACAGTCTAATGGGGAGATAATTTATAAAAAACTATATACAGACTAGCCATATGGAAAATCAATTTGAGAGGATCAACAGAGGAGAGACACTAGCGTTAAGAAGGTTGGGGAAGGGCTTCCTGTAAAGGGAAGATTTGAGCTGGCACTCGAAGGAAGCCATGGAAGCCAAGAGGCAGGGATCCTCAAGTCGGGAGAGCATTACAGGCAGGGGCCACAGCCAGAGCAAATGCCTGGAGTTGGGAGATGGGTTTTGCATCAGAAACAAGAAGATAGGCAACAAAAGGAGAGACACTGAATGGAAGGAGATATCAGGCTTGGAAGGGGAGGTCAGTGAGCTGGCAGGCCAATTTCGGGGAGGGGCCTAGACCTTATGGTGGGGTCCATACATCTGAGACTATAAAGAACATGATAAAAATGGTGGGATTTGCAGAACAGGAATGAAATGACTCAGAGATTGAATTAATATTCACAGCTGTAATTTACCCCAAAACTATGAAACACTGGTCCAGTTTCATCTGTGAGCAGTACTACTGATACTCTGCCAACACAGGAGATGCCACTTCTAAGGTCCATCTCTGCCACTACTGTGCTGTGTGATCTTGGGTGGTCTGCTTTCCCTCTCTGGGCCTCAATTTCCTTGTATGTAAAATGAGATGGTTGAGTTAGATAATCTCCAAGGAAGATTTACATCTCGAATGGTTTATGATCTGGGGCTGCCAAGAAAATGAAATACTCCCCAAGGTCTGGACTTCTATAAACGTACTTTGTTCATTAACTACCCCCATGTTGACTCCTGACCTCTGCTCTGTGTTTATTTTCCAGAAGCCTTGTTGACACTGTTTATGCACTGAAGGATGAAGTCAAGGAATTAAAACAGGTGAGAGGATGTGTGAAGAAAAAGCTAGAGGCCAAGGGCAGTGAGTCGGTGAACAGTTGTGCTTCTCTTTATGTACTTGTTGTTCAAGGTGACCAGTCTTTGACTCTGAGGATGATCTGCTTGGCCTAAAGCTATCAGTGGTCTAGGGTTGGAATTCATGCTTTGCTCTTCACAGTGGAGTCTCTAGGCTCAACTCCATGACTTACAGAGTCTTGACTTACGGCTAAGACTCATGTTCCTGTCTTATGTTAAGGAGGCAGTGATTACTCCCCACGATGGATGTGTGAACAGAATCGTAATTCATGTATTGGTTCTTCCCATTAGCCAGCATTCCACAATGCACAGGCTTCTCTTTGAGTCTTGAGTTGGGAACTGAAGAACTAAGACAGATTTGGGGTGCCATAGGGAAGTGGCGGGGGTTGGGGTGGGGACCATGGAGAGAGTGGAAATGTTTCCACCTTTCACTCTTACCATAACCTGGGTCTTGTCCAGAACTGACAAATATCATCGTGGCTTGGCCATAGCCCAGTGGCCTTACCTCCTAGGCCAGGGATAGGGAATCTGCAGCCTCACGGCCACATGTGGCCCTCTAGGTCCTCGAGTGTGACACTCTGACTGAATCCAAACTTAATAATCCCCTTAATAAAAGGATTTGTTCTGTAAAACTTGGACTCAGTCAAAAGGCCTCACCCAACGACCTGGGAGGCCACATGTGGCCTTTGGGGCAGATTCTGCTCCCCTGTCCTAGGCCATATGTACTTAAACTCTGTGGCTGGGGTCCCACATGGCAATAAGCTTTGGGGTGGGTCTTGTTAAGTTTCGTTCAAGCCCTGCCCCCACCCTATTCTCTCTTCTCCCACCCCACATCACGCCGTGAATGATGCTGTGCACTGGGGCTGGGGCTGGTCAATTCCTGTCCTCTTTTGACTTCTGCCCCTGGATTCCGGGACTTTGTTGGCTTTTCTCTGCAATAGACCTTCTCTTGGCTTTTTGTTTTTGTTTTTGCCCACTTAGGAGAATAAAAAAATGAAGCAATGCCTAGAAGAAGAATTGAAGTCCAGGAAAGACTTGGAAAAGTTGGTCAGGAGGCTGTTGAAGCAAACAGATGAGTGCATGAGGGCAGACCCAGGAGGCAAGGCCTCCCTCCTGGCTTGAGGCTACCCCCCCCCCCCCATGCTGCCGGCACTCACTCAGGTGCGACTTGGGATCATCGAGGAAGGAAAATCAGACCCCTTGACTTACTCTGCTCCTCGCCTTGTCTGCTTTCTGTGTATTTGGCTGTTTTCTCTTATAGGAAAAAAAAAAGGAATTTGTAGTGGAAATAGCCTTCCATTCAATAAGGAAATGAAATCAGTAGGAATTATTGCAATAAGAAGGGTCAGCAAATGGCCCTAGGTTCATAGTTCATCCCATCTCCTCTTTGGATGGATGGGTCACTAGTGCTTTGGACAAAGCTACTCTCAGAGAAGCTGCCAAGTGGTGCCCAGTGAGGGAGGCTGGCACACCCACTGCTTTCTCCCAATAGCTTTCCTTGATCTTGAAGCCCCTCAGTTATTCATTCAAGAGGCATCGATAAACCCCCACTGCGCACCAAGGTCCATACTCAGTGCTGGAGACGCAACAGCAAAAACAAAACGACTCCTGCCCTCCACAAACTTATGCTCTACTCAGTGAGGAGTCAACGCCACCAGTCAATGCAAAATATATATGAAACCACTATGGAGTCACGGGGGGGGGGGGTCCTAATAACTGAGGGGGGTGGGTGAGGAATCAAAAAAAGCCTCATGTAAGAAGTGGTACCTAATTTATCGAATGGTAAAGTCCTATGGCCCATGCGCCCTGTCTAACCTCCCCTCCTCCCCCGTCATGTACACATAGTTATTTTCCTTGGATTTTCTAACAAGATAGTGCGGGAGACTCAGTAGTCCTTTTGTTGCTTTTATGTTAGTCTAATTGACATGCTTGATTTAACCCAGTGGAGCAGGAGCTTTCATCATTGCCACAAACACCAAGCCGTAATGCCGGCAGGCTATTTCTAGCATGTGATGATGACATCGTGGCAACTTCTCTGGCTAGAGCATCGTAGACATAGACGTTTTGCATTTCCCCAGTGCTTTGACTTCACCATACCCAGCAGTACGTCATTCTGGTTGGAACATGCTTTTGCTCACTCCCCTTCCTGTAGTCAGACCGTGAGCTCTTCTGGTGTCCTGGTTTGGGATTCCAGCCTCCCCTCACTGGTGCGTCTCAAAGTCTCCACCAAGAAAAGAGGCTAGCTTCTAACAGGAGATGTCCATTCTCCTTGGTCCATTTATAGGCTGTGGCGAGAGGTGGAGCCCTCTCCCTGATCGCCTCAAGAGGAGGCCTTTCAATATCATTTGCAGGAATCTGCTCTCTCCAGGAAGGTCACTGTTTGCCCAACCACAAATGGGGCCTACTTGGAGCTGGCTGGGCTGCTGATCTGGCTTCCCTCTTTTCCTCAATAACTTTGTTGGAATCCCAGCAATCTGGACACAGCTGGAGCTCGTGGCCATGGAATAGTCAGCAGATTCCAGGTATCATTCAGCACAATTTAGGAAAGGATGTGTTGGTAGATAATTAGAAAGTCCCAAAGGCAGGTGAAGTTTGACCAGCGTGGGACAGATCCCTTTTGATGGATGGAAAAAAAAAGGGGCATTAGATTGAAAAACAAAACAAAAATAAACAAAAAAAAAAAGTTCTCCAGATGTATTTGCTATGAATACTGATGAGTGTCAGTTTATGCAAATGCTGTTTTAAAAAACACCCGAATTCCAACTTGAAACGCTTTGCTCCCCAAACTGGCCACCCTCTCCCCCACCCCGGTACTTGGTGGTCTCTAGTCCCTGCTGCTACACAGTATGGTACGTGACTTTTTGCTTGCTGCCCCCCCCAGGGGAAGTACTACTCTCAGGAAGTGGGCCAGGCAAAGGAATGCTGGGAGTAAGCCACCCACCCCTGTTACCTAGCTAAACTCATCTGGGGCAGCCTCTGCCTCACCTTTTGTTCCCTTCTGGGGCTGAAGGGCCAGGAGAGACTTTCTGAGAGAGGGACCTTTACCTTCTAAAGGGAGCTCAGCTTTCTCATTTTTCAGATAAGGAAACTGAGGCCTAGCAAATTGAAGCGATCTCTCTGGGCCTCATTTTTGTCCTCTATAAATTGAGGGGATTGGACTAGTTTTTGAGGTCTCACTCCAGACCAGCACTTTTAAAACTAAAAGTGCTGAAGGGGTCGAGAGTGGAAAAAATTTAAGAAGGTCTGCTCTAGACCTCCGATGAGCTATGATCTTCAGATATCAAGGAGCATGACTGTTTTGAGGGCTCAGACATCCCAAATCAAAGCCGGGCCTCTTGAATTGTCCCCTCCGAAGTTACCAAACACATGTGAAGAAGATCGATAGGAAACTCTTAGTGACATAAGGAACTCAAATGGATTATAGTCACGGTAGGAAAGCAGACTGTACTGAAAACCAATTTTCCAATGCTGAGCTCCATAGACAGCTGCTTAAGAGGCCTCCGAGCCCCTGATGGGAGAAGCATGGTACCTCGGCTAACGGAACCCATACCAAGCATGGCTGTTGCTGTTATGAGCCAAATAACAAGAGCGAGGAAATGAAGCCATGTGAAATCGACAGCACTGGTTCCATATTTGCGTTGTTTACAATGCTTTTATAAATTCTCTGGTCCCGTCATCCTCTTGATTGCTGCCTCACTGTGATGAGGCCACTCCATTCATCTTCTCCCAGGGTAGGCTAATTTCCTGTCATTTCTCATATGCAAACCCAGTTTTTCTAAACTTTTTATTTTGAACACTTTTTAAATTGATGTTTTCAATCAATAAAGAAGGATGACAATGCCTTATAAATGGAATTTTTGTGTGTGCTCACTCTCCTTTATTGTCTGCTTGGCGTTGGTAAAGAGGAAGGGTGGGGGATGGAGCTGAATATCTTGGGAGCGTGGTGTTTTGGTAGTTTTCCATGAATGTGGACCTCTGTTGGTCTGAAGGAAGAGTTCAGCAGGAGCTGATGTTGGTTACTTTTAGAGCTTCGGGAAACCCTGGTCTAGAAGGAGCCAGAAGACCTAGGTTCCAGTCCTGACATCATCACTTCTTAACTGTGTGATTTGAGGCGAATCACTGCTCTGAACCTTGGTTTTCTCATCCTGGAAAATAAGGATGAGGTCAAAGCGTGGCAGTTTTCATCCAATCTGTCTGGACCTGAGTGAGAATCCCATCTATGACATACCTAACCAGTGAGTGGGCCTTGTGTGAACAGCTCCCTCTAACGACAGTCAGTTCCCCTAACTCAATTTCTAATCATAATTCTGTCCCTACCTTTTTTTTCCCCTCATGTTGAACCTTACATTTACCTCTCTCCCAATTCTCCCCGTTGTTCCTTGTTAATAATTTTAATTCTAATAATAGTATTACAACAACAACAAAAATAGCTAGCATTTATATAGAGCACTTTGAGGTTTGTTGTCTCATTTTGTCCTCACAACAACCTTGGGAGGTAGGTGCTATTATTATCCCCATTTTACAGATGAGGAAATGGAAGCACAGAAAGTGTCTTGCCCAGGGTAACACAGCTAGTGAGTATCCAAGGCAGGATTTGAACTCAGGTCTCCCTGACTCCAAGTCTTGTACTACATTACTCTGCCACCTTAGCTGCCTCATAGTTCTGTCCCCAGGGGCCAAGGAGGACAAGTCAGCTACCTCTGCCATGTGACAGCCCTTCAAAAAGTAGAAGATACTGATCATGACCCTTCTAAGTCTTCTTGTCTTTAAACTAAACACCTGTAGGTCCCTTCAGCCAGTTCTAACATGGCAGGATCTCAGGGCCTTCTCTATTATGCTCTTCATCTTATCAGTTTCCTTCTTAAAATGTGGATGTTCAGAACAGAATGCAGAGCTTTAAGTGTGATGGGAGTATGGTGTAGTATGATACAGCCATTGCCTTCTTCACTCTGGATGCTATCCCTGCTTAATGAAGGCCAAGTCTACATTACTGTTTTGCCTACCATAGCATGCTTTTTTTTTTTTTTTTTTGGCTAGGCAATGGGGTTAAGTGACTTGCCCAGAGTCACACAGCTGGCGAGTGTTATGTATCTGACGCTGGATTTGAACTCAGGTCCTCTTAAATCCAGGGCCGGCACTCTATCCACTGCGCCACCTAGCTGCCCCATAGCATGCTTTTTAATAATTGAGGTTATAGCCCTCTAAGGCCCCCAGATCTAGCCATGTTCTCCTCATCCTGGACTTGGGAAGTTGGGTTTTTGAACTGAGACTACATTTATTCCCATTAACTTTCTTCTGGTTACATTTGATCCATTGCTCTAGTTTGTTAAGACCTTTTATGATCATGACTGTCATCTAGTATGTTAGCCGTACCTCCTAGTTTGTGCCAGCTACACATTAGGTAAGTGTGCCAGCAATTCCTTCAAGTCATTGATAAAACTATTGGATAGCATAGTGCCAAGGAAAGATCGGATCTCTGAGGCACTCCACTAGAGATCCCCTATATTTCTGGGGACCCGCTCTTTGAGTATAGCCATCTCTAACTGGTTCTGAATCCACCACACTGAATTAGTATCTTGCCTACATAGTTTATCTTGTCGGGAAGAGAGCAGGAAGACTTGTTCCAGAGTAATGAGATAGAATTTGTGAGTGACCAGTAGGTAACCAATGGAGAAGGGTTTAACAAGGGGACCTCCAGCATCTGTCCCATCAGTATCATTGGGACTTCCTGAATGTTTGGCCTAAGATATATGCCATCTCTGAAAGGATTGCTGAGGCCCATCGTGATAGACAAAGGGCAGTCACTGAACATTTAGTCAGATGTATGACTGGTGGAAATGGCTCTGACTCACTCTGAAGGATCTGAATTCGAATCTCGGCTTGGCTATTTACTGCCTGAGTGACCTTAGGTAAGTCACCTGATCACCCTGGGCCTCAGTTTCCTCATCTGTAAAATGGGGATCATAATAGCGCCTACCTTAAAGGGTTGTTGTGAGGATCAGATAAGATAATATTCACGTAGTAAGTGCTATCTAAATGTTAGCTATTTATTATTGTTATTATTTTGAGTATAAGCTCCCTAAAACAGAGGCTGTTTTGTTTTTGTCTTTGTAGCAGTACGTAGCTTGGCACTTGGTGATGAAGGAATTGGCAGGGGCAGGGTGTGTGTGGTGTGTGCCTAGTGGATTGAGGGCTGGACACAGAGTCAGAGAGACCTAAGTTCAAATTCCTTCTCAAATCCCCTTTGGTTTTTGAGGCTCTAATCCTCAGTTTCGTCATCTGTAAAATGGAATAATGGGGACTTCCAAAGTTACAGTAAGACTCTAGTGAGAGATTTCTTAGGATGAGAGAGTGGGGTGCTGGATTTGGAATCTGGGTTCAAATCTCAACTTTATTCTTGACTACCAGGGTCATCTTGGACAGATCTTATGGGTCTCAGTTTCCTCATCTGTCAAAAAAGGGGGTGTTTGGAATGGATGATCCCTAAGAGCCCTTCTAGCTTGAGACCTGTGCCCAAATAATCCCATGAATTGGATTCTGGAGGTAAAATTGGCCAGGCCTTCTGTAGAATAGCGTTGTCGTTTGGGGCTTCTGTAAAATGAGGGAGTAGAAGGGAGCAGCTAGATGGCGCAGTGGATAGAGCACCGACCCTGAAGTCAGGAGGACCTGAGTTCAAATCTGGCCTCAGATCAAACACTTGACACTTACTAGCTGTGTGACCCTGGGCAGGTCACTTAACCCCAATTGCCTAAAAACAAAAAAAAAAAAATGAGGGAGTAGGAAGAGAGGGTCTTCGAAGGTCCCTCTCAGCTCTGACTGTCTATGATTCTCTAAGGCTAAAGATTGAAACATAAAAATTCCGCTTCACGGTCCTCTACTTAGCACCAGTTAATAAGCACCCACACTTGGATTTTGTTTAGTGGTGAAAGTTATTAAATGGGCAATCTAGGGCCCTGATAGCTTTCTTCTTTGTTCATGTCTACTTCTGACTCTCCCAGTCGAGCTCCCTTTTTCTTCTTTCACTTGGGTGTCACAACAGGATTTCCTCTGGTCTAACCACATGGGCAAGACCTCTTGTCTGTACTTTTACTGCTTGCTAACTGGTAATTTCAGAGGGCTCCGCCATTTTAAGCTAACTCCGACCATCTTTGTGTACTCTGGGTTTTAGCCTGGCGAGAGCCTTTAGCATATGTAGCATTACTTGGCCCACGATACCCAAGCCCTAGATATGGAGACATGGGATTCTGGAAGGGTTGGCTGTCAGCCGATTGCTATCTCCAGAATAAAAGTAGAGGTGGTTCCATAAGAAAACTCGTGAGAAAAAATCATCCAAGTGTTCAGCAAACAATTTAAAAGTATATATATATATATATATATCAATTCAACAAGCATTTATTCTTATTAATAATAAAAGAGCTAGTGTTTATATAGTGCTTTAAGGTTTGCAAACTACTTTATAAATATTATCTCATTTGATCCTTACAACCCTGGGAAGTAGGTGCTATTATTATACTTATTTTACAGATGAAGAAACTGAGGCAGACAAAGGTTAAGTGATTTGCCCAGGGTCACATAGCTAGTAAGTTTCTGTGACTGGAGTTGAAATCAGACCTTCCTGACTCCAGGCCCTGCACTCCATCTACTGTACCATCTAGCTGCCTCTAAGTTGGTACTATTAAGTATCTACTGTGCACCAGACATTGTGCTAGGCATATAACAACAAAAATGAAATCGTCTCTGCCCTCAGGGAGCTTACATTGTACTGGGAGAGAACAACACACGTGCGGATACTAAATCCAAAATATATATGAAATTAGGAGGAAAGAGAATGTCTTAATGGAAAGCCTTTTCTTCAGGGTCCAGGGGCCCTCTCTTGCCTAGTGAGGGATCTCCATGACTTTTCCTATTATTGCCATCTTCTTCTTTTATTACCTTGTTCCTGTAAGTGAATTTCCTTTCTCTCGGCTCATTGCCTCTGCTCTTAGCTTGAACTCAGGTAAGCCTCTTCACCAAGGCTCACTCTTGGGTTCTTGACTTGGAGCTAAAGCCCCCATGGGTATTGAGTGTCTTGCAGAATGCCCAAGGGATAGTCTCTGGAAAGTCAGAGCAGGTCAGTTCTCCTGGATGCTGAGATCCACACCTCTCGGGGAAGACAGATCCTCCTTGTTACTCTTGAGAAGCACCATCTGGGCGTGAGTAGTTCTTTATCTGGACCTGAATTCTGCACCCTTCCTTTGCCCCATCACATGGTAGAGGATTGGAGACCAGATGATGGTCTTAGAAGGAACTGAGGATGTTTAGCCTGGGAAGGAGAAGACAGTGGGGCCGGGAAAGCTGTCTTCAAGTATTTGAATGACTGTCATGTGGAAAAGGAATTGAATTTGTTCTCCTTGGCCTCAGAGGGCTGAACTGGGAGTAGTGGGGGGAGCCACTGAGAGGCAGATTTAGCCCTGATGCCCAGAGAAAATTGCTAATGATGAGAGCTGCCATGAGAAGTAGCAAGTTCTCTGACTCTGGAAGTCCTCAAGCAAAGGCTGGGGCGGGGGGGGGGGGGGGGAGCTGTTTGTCAGTGATATAAAAGGGATTCTGTTCACCTGTAGGTTGGACCAGATGTGATTCCTTGTGTACCAACGAAGGGGCTTTCTAGGCAATTGCCCCTTTCCTCCTGGATTCAGGGATCTCCACTATAAGACTATAAGCCCCTTGAGGGCAGAAACTAGTTTTGGTTTTGGTTTTCTCATCTTTGTATTTTTTTTTTAAGGAAATCTTTGTATTTCTAGTATAATGCTTTGCACAGATTAGCTGCATGGTAAATGTTGATTGAATTGAATATATTCACACCTGAGAAACTGTGCCCTTTAGGTTTTCTACCTTTCATACATCCCCATTTCTCTTAAACTCAGTCTGTAGCTCTTCCTGGAGCATCATATGAAAGATTTAGTAGGATTTGGAGCTGGAAGGGACCTTGGAGATGATCAACCCCTTCATTTTACAGGAGAGGAAACTGAGGCACAGAGAAGGAAAGTGATTTGCCCAAGGTCTTACAAATATGAAATAGAGCAGTGATTCTGTTCCAGGTCCTTCTCCTCTGAACCCCATGCTCTTTTCACTAGGATATGCATCAGCTTTTCATCCCATAACCTTATTAGCTAAAAGCATATTAGAGAAATTCCCATCTGAATTGTATCTAACAGGGAACTATGGTAGCTCCTTCCAGGAATCTGGTGCCACTTTCTGAGATTTCCTCAACTCCCTTGTGTCTGCCAAATTCAGAGGCGGGGAAGCTAATTCTGGCCCTACACATGTAGGGCCCTCCGTGACTATTTCCAGTTCTTTGCTGAATATGTCAGTGGGACTCAAAGACATTGGGTGAAATCCTCCCTGACCTACCTAAGTTTGGAGAAGAGATGCTACTGCTGCTGACGTAAGGCTCTCCCCCGATGCTGCTCAGTGAGTAACCAAGCCCAAATCAGTCTGGATTTAAGCCTCCTGAAATACTGGCACGGTCCCTTTTCCCCCCTGCCCTGTGACAGTCTATATGATGTCATTGACACTGTGACTTCTGTGTAACCCTGGCATGTGTTGAGGCTATTCCGTGCCAAAAGATCGACATACTTCTCTAAGCAGCAGTTGTGGGGGTGGGGAAGGTTTTGGTCTTCGGAAATAAAAAATGGCAATAACGTTAAGTAACATTTATTACTTAAAAAATAAATAACAAGGTTCACTTGGGAAACAGTGAAGACTACAGCTGGATACAGTAGATTTCCCATAAGCACAGCCAACTCCCAGTGGTCAACATGTGGATTCTCTCTAGGACCCAGAGATTATTCTACTCCCCTGTGCCACCTCACTGGTCGTAGGGCTGCTTCCCTCTGCCCACGAGGATCCTTGGTGGGAATGGATGGGGATAAGCAACTGTGGGGAACTGAGTGACAGAAGTCAGGTTTGTCAGCTCTCCACTGTCCAGAACCTCTGGGTTAGTGCCCATACGCAAGAGTTGATTGTAAATGAACATGAGGCATGGAATCTCCCTTCCCCCCCTCCTCACCTTTGGAGATGATCCAATGTACTGCCCACTGGAAGAATCTAGATCAGTGCTTCTTAAACTGTGGGTCACAAGCCCTTCTGTTTAAACCCCACAGTTTAAGAAGCGCTGAAAGGGTCTCGAGTGGAAAAAGTTTCAGAAGCCCTGCTCTAGATAGTACATATCAAAACTAGATCCTGATTGGTATGAATAATAAATCCCCTGAAATGGTCACATGTATTTTAATTCATGCTATGCCAAGTTACAGTGATATAAAAACTGGCAATGGGAAAATATGCAGTGAGAGTTTGAATAATGCAGCCATTTCAGGGGACTCATTTGTGCTTGTACTAACTTTCTTCTCTCTCTCTCTCTCTCTCTCACACACACACACACACACACACACACACACACACACATACACACATACACACATACACACAAACACACATGCACTTTCTATATATCTCTGTGTCTTTGTCTATATCTTTCTGTGTCTTTATCTCTTTCTTTAGCTCTGTCTCTGTCTCTGTCCTCTCATTCTCATTCTTGGTCTCTGTGGGGTTCACTGGATGTCTGCCTCAGTTTCATATGTTTTAAGCCACAACCCTGTGTAGGGCAGGGACTGTTTCTGTTTCACTCTGGGAATCCCTTAGTATGTACAGCACTGCCTATGTGGGAGTACGTAATAAATAGTATTTGATTAAAGAAAAGTCCGAGGAATATAAATAGTCCAAGCCAGGAAAGCCCAGTCAGTTCCAAAGGGTTTAGTTTGAACTGCTTTTTTCTATATGGCGAAGATTGATGGCATCATCTTTGGCCACATAATGAGGAGTTACATTTTTTTTTTCACAATTTAAATAAACCGAAATACGTGAATCCTGTCCCGTGACTCACTTGGGTGGGATCAGTCACATTGACAAACACCGAAGCACCTTGTTGCAGGTCGAATGTTCCTCCCAGGCGAATTGACTGATGCCTACAAGGTTTAGAGGGTGTGTGGGTATTTGCTGCTCGGAGGAGGACTCTCTCTGATCCGCTCGATTTCAGGCAAAGGCTGGCGATAAATGGTGCCTCACTGGAAGTTTCTCGGTTGGAACAAAAGGTGACTTGGGAATAGATATAGTAAAATCCTGAGCTTTGGACTGTCAATTTCCCATCACTATAGGATAATGAGTCGCTCACGGTGTAATATCCTTTTTTGGCCCACTGTAGAACTGTGTAGGAAAGAGAAAACAAAGCGGTCAATTGGAATGTGTTCCATGTTTCATATTCTAATGGACAAGAAATGTAAGACCATGAAAGGCCATAGATCTTGGTGACATCAAGAAAGCCCTTTCCCCAGTCTAGGCCTCAGTTTCCTTCTCTGTTAAAAGGACTTGGACTAGAATGTCTCAAAGTTCCCTTCTAGCATAATTCTAAAAAAGGTGCCCCCTATATGTGGAAAATAGAGGAGCTGTCACTGACAATGGCTACTCAGTTTTAGGAAGGCCTGGGTTCAAACCCTGCCTCTGAGGTATACAAGTTATGTGACCATGTAACCTTACAATAACTGAGGCAGCTCTCCTACCATCCTAAGTTACAGGTGAGTTGCCAGGCTGTGTCAATGGTGGGAGGTTCCATATGGATAAAATTGTAAATCAAGACCTGGGATTTCATTGATGATGGGGGGCGGGGGCGAGAGATTCCTAGGGAGGAACTTCCCACTCCCAGTGCAGGTTGACACCTGTTCTGCAATTTCTGGTTTTGGAGAGTCACCTGGTGCCACTGAGAAGTTAAGTGACTTGTCCAGGGTCACCCAGCCAGTATGTATGTATATATGTGTGTGTGTACATATATATATATATATATATATATACATATATTTATATTAAAAATAAGTAGGGTAAATAAAAAAATTCCCCAACAAATTATACGCACAGCCTCATGACTCCTTCAAAGCAAATCCCCAAATCCTACCATTAGTTAACACCATGCTTCAATTTTACAACATACACCATTTGTCAGCCACAGCCCATCAAGGCAAGAACTGATTTATTCCTCCCTAATCATGCTGATGCAAAGCAGGCCTGCCTCCCACTGAGGGGGACTAAAATTAGGAAAGGAAGTATGAAAATAAACTTGTCAAGTTCCCCGTCTGTTTTGATCTCCCCTTGTAGTGGGCGCCACCGCCTTGCGAGCTTGGTGGTATGCAAAGCCTCTGTAGTCTTGTGGCTGAGCCCAAGCACCCACCGGCGACGCCCTGCGCCATTTTCTCGACTCAGGCTAAGTGGGGTTCAAAGTGGCAGGTGTGTGTGCCAGATTTCCAATCTCAGCTCCCACAGAGAGTTTGATTGGCGGGGGTGGGGGCTTCGTGGGGAAGAACTTGAGATTGTGTTGACTGAGCAGAGCTCCAACGCACATCCAGGCACGCATGCACATACACACAGAGGCACACATGAACCCACACCCCTTGGAGTGACAAACCAGTTTCTCATGTCATATTGAGACCCAAGAATCTGGTGAGACACAACTTGAAGTGTTAGGAGGAACAACTTAGTTTAGTTTGAAATTTTACAGGCCTTACAGACCAGCTCTCCCATAAGAGATAGATTACAACCAAATCATGCCCAAATGTCGCTTGTTTGGAATGTTCAATACACAATTAGGGGGTGAGTTCCTTTTCATCTAGGCCATTTGGTAATGAATAATCAACACAGAATGGACTGGGAAATGTTGGCTGATTTTTAACTAGATTCTGATCTTCCCCTAACCCCCACCCCCAAACCTGGGGGGGTTCCTATGGGGCAGAATGACAAAGGTCCCGGGCCTAATATCCAACTCATCTAACATGAGTTCTCTCAGGGAACTACATTCGAAGACCAGGAAACACGATCTATCAAATGGTGACTCTCATTTCTTTAGAACTTTCCTTATAACCCCTCCCCTACCAGGTGGAAAGTACACAGATCATTAGTCCCATTTGACAGCTGGAGAAACTGAGGCTCAGAAAGGGGAAAGTGACTTGCCCATTATCATAAAGCTAGTCAGTGGCATAGTCAGATTCCTTTAAGAGAGAGATACATAGTAGAATTCCTGAAGAAAGTTGTTAACGTTGGGGCTCTCTGTTCCTCTTTTGACATAAACACATTGGAATTCACTTGATGATCATGAAGAGTACCAATCACGCTCTCAGAGGCCATCTATCAACTTCCTCATTTTACAGAGGAGGAAACTGAGGCCCAGAAAAGGGAGAGGACTTGCCTAAGGCCCCACAGGGCAGGATTTGAATCCAGGTCCTCTGATTCCAAAGCCCCCAAGTGCTCTTTCTTTTGTGCCATGAGAAGACCCTGGCTTTTAAGCTATTGTCCTGGTCTTTTTCTGTACCCCATCCTGGCCTTTAGAGACAGTCAAAGGTTGGCCCTCTGCTCTTGGGGCCACAATCTCAGACTGCATTTATATGGATGGGGGGGTGGGGGAAGCGGTGGAGATTTTGTGCTCGGTGACTTTGTTTCCATTGTTTTATCAGATATAAAGAATCCTGCAGTGCCTAGTAGGTGCCGTGTCCTGACACAGGCCTGTGATACTAGAAGAACGTTTGTGGAAATAAAATCATTCGGAGGTGAAGAGATCAGAACACATCATCTGTTCTTACTTCATTGGAAAATTTGACGTTATCATCTATTGATCTTTGTAGAATGATTTTACCTTTAATTTCCCTGGGGCTAGCCATAATGAGGCTGGGGTTTACTGTAGGGGGATCAACAGATGGGAATGTGTCCCTTGGGTCCTATTTTTGTAAATGTGAAGGCCAGCCTTCATTTTTCAGACAGTAGAAGCTGGGGAGGGGGGGAGTTTAACGGCAAGGAGTCTGTCCACTAGGTGTTTCCTCTGAGCTGGCCAAAAGCACCAATCCCTCCAACTGATGTTACACCACTTGGGAGAGGCATGAAGGAGGAAGACGGGAGCTTTGGTCCCATCTCTTCAGTGTCTCTCCCAGTCTCCCCTGTGCTTGGGGCTCTCTTTAAAGATGATGGGAAGGAGGGGGAATGGATGGGCTTGTCAATCAGACCCCAAAGAAATAGACCCACTGTTCTGTAAAAAAACAACTTGGCCTAACCAATGTGATGACTCCCAGGGGGAAATGAATTTTTAAATGCTCCAAGACTTACCAGCTGTTGATTTACTGTTGGTGTTACTTGTCAGATGAGCTGCAATCGGTAGCTGTTTCTGATCCCCTGAAATTAAAAAAAGCCATGAGATGTGTCAGACACAAACATCCAACTGGCCTGAGATCTCATGTTTCAATTTTCTCATATGACTAAGTCTCCTAAGCAAATCAGAGAGGTGCGATTGCCTGGCTCACTCAGAGCAAAATCCTTGGCCTGTGCCCAAGGAGAGGGAGCCTCCATTACATTTTGCTTATTGCTGCTCATGCCCACCCCCATCCCCCAATACCATCAACAATGGTTACAGTCTTCCTTTGAGGAACAAGTCATAAGATCAATGATTGAGAGACAAAGGAACTCAGAGGCCATCTAATTCAGGCTGCCTCCGCCCCCATTTAAGAGATGAGGAAACTGAAGCCAAGAGAGATGAATTGGGTTGTCCAAGGTCACACATGCGCTTAAGTGATACTGAACACTTAATGTGTTGGTTCAGGCACTTTGACCCACGTCCAGCTCCCTAGGTCCTGCTGCTCAGTTCTGCCACAAGCTTAGCCCAGTTGGCCACCATTTTTCTGTTTCCTATTTACCGTCTTCTCTCCTCCCCTAGCCTGGGAGCTCCTGGAGGGTAGAGACAATGCCTCGCACACAGTAGGCATTACTTTTATTGAGTTTTGTTGACTAGAGAAAGATAGGAACCATGATCCTGGGAGCTTGTGACTGGCCTGATTATCCTGTGGTATTCCGAGTATAAGAAATCTTAGAAATCTTAGAGCTGGAATTCAATTCAGTTCAATTCACTAAGCATTTATTAAGCCCCAGTTGTGAGCCAAACATTGTGTCAAGTGTTGGGGATACAGAGATAAAACAGTCCCTAACCTCAAGGAGCTTCCAGTCTACTGTGGGTGATAGACTGCAGTACCCAGATAAGGAAACAATACTATTTTTTTTTCTTTTAGTCCAGATCATTGATCTTATCAGTGTGGGGAAATCCTGGTATGGAAACTCCCTTTACTAATGTAGGTCAGCAATTGGTCTGTAGTCTTTGACCATTGCCTGGGGCAATGGAGAAGTTAAGTGATTTGCTCAGGGTCACACAATTATCCTGTGTCCAAAACAGGACCTGACTGTGTGTCTTCTTGACTCTAAGGCTAGCTACCACGTTATGCTGCCTCTCAAATACAAGTACAAAGAAATCTACTGGAGTTGGGAGAGAGGCCTAACACCTGGAGATAAACAGGAGGCCTTCCCCTAGGGCCCAGTGGCAGAGGTATGGCCATACTGCAAGCATGAATCTATCTTAAAAGGATCATCAACCCCCTGACTGAAGGCCTCCAGTGACACACATCGCCTCCCCAGGAGGCCCATTCTATAGGACGTGGCTAATATAGGTCACAGATTGAGAGCCAGAAGGGACCTTAGAAACCATTTAGTCCAATGTCCTCATTTCACAGATGAGGAAGCTGAGGCCCCAAGAGGCAATTTGCCTAAGGTCATACAGGTTATAATAGAGCAGAAGAGGAGCTGAACTCAGGTCTTCTGACTCCATAGCAATTGTTCTTTTCATTTCACTGCGATGCCCTGCTTCCTTCTCCCCCAACTAATCCAACCCCCTCATTTTACGGAAGAGGAAACTGAGGCCCAGGGAGGGGAAGGGACTGGTCCAAGGCCACACAAGTAGTAAACAGCTCTAATTTTTAGGAAGTTCGTCCTTCCCCCAAGCCAAAGGCCTTTCGTGGGAGGTGATGCCTGAGCTGGGCTTTGGAGGAAGCCAGGAAGCAGAGGGCATGATACTCTCTGTAACTTGCACCCATTTGTTCCTAGTTCGATTCTATCAACTGCACCCACCCCCACCTGAGAATGGGTGTGATATAGCCAGGAGTGTGCTGGAGCCAGCTCAAAATGAGCTGGTTGTAAAATTTTCATTGTGAATGTTTATACTTTGAAATTGCTACAACTCTGGGCTTGACTGATGGTTTTGTTGATTGTCCAAGCTTAAGAAAGTGATAGAGAAAATGTGAAAAATTCAGATTAAACCTCAAAGTGTTGGAGGTGCATTTTTTTTCAGAGTCAGTTGTTAAAGATTTACCAGCACAGTCACAAACTACCATTCAGAGAGAACTAATTGGGGGGGGGGGGGTGGGGGGGGGGGTTGCGGGAGGAGAGAAGGAGAGAGGGAGAGAGGGAAGGTCAGTCAGTGAGTCAATAAACTATTATTAAGAACCTACTATGTGCCAGACACCGTGCTAAGTGCTGGAAGGTATTGTTCTACTGTCGATGGTGCTGGTTACACCACGTGGGCTGCATTATGTCCAGTTCCGTGTTCTATGAGGAACAGTATAAAGAACTGGGGGGTTGAGCCCGAAGAGGAAGTGGGTTGGGGGGAGACATCTGAATGGAAGGAGCTGGCTTGTTGTCTGAGGCTGAACGAGTGAGCTGTCCAGCACGGGACATTCTTCCAAAAGTTATGGGTTTGAAGGCCAGTGGAGGTCACGTCCAGCCTGAAAGCTGCAGTGGCTAAGAACTGAGGAACTAATGAATTCCCTGACCCTGGATGTAACTGAGCAGAGGCTGCATGACTACTCGTCTTGGTCAGGATGCATTATGGGAAGGAGGAACTGGATCTGGCCTGCAAAGAGCTCTTCCAGCCTTCAAATTCGACGCTTTCCAAGTGGAGGTTAGATAGCAGGGCTCTGGGGCATTGGCTTCAGTCCCCATAAACAAAGCTGACATGGTTCCTTGGTGAGAGAGGAGGAACTTCCCAGTCATCCAGAGGAATGAAGAGCCAAAAAGATGGAGTTCCATAGTCCATCTTGTGGCTCTAATATCTTAATCCAATGACATGAGTATCATGCCCTCTGCTTCCTGGTTTCCTCCAAAGCACAGCTCAGGCATCACCTCCCACACAAGGCCTTTCCCAATCTCCCCACTTGGCCATGCGCTCTCCCCCTTAAAATGATATTGTATTACGCACTTTGTGTATACTTTGGATTTCCTGATCCATATGAATGTTGTGTCTCCTCGGGAGAGTGTAATCTCCTTGAGGGCAGGGACTGTTTTCATTTTAGCGTTCATACCTCAGCACCTAGTACTCTGCCTGGCCCACAGTGGGCCCTTTGAAAAAAAATGCTTGTTGAAACAGCCTGGAGTGAGGGTTAGATCATAGGATCATCAATTTAGAGGCACTGTGGGATAGTGGAAATAGCACTACGATTTGCAGTGTGAGGACCTGGATTCAAATCCCACCCCTGATGATATATGACCTACAGACTGACCACCTATGTATCTCTGAGTGAATCATTTCACTTTTCTGGGCTTTAGTTTCCTCTTCTATAAAATGGCCAAGATTGATCTCTTAGGCCCCTTCCAGGCTCCTCTGACTCTCGAAGGGAGGGAGCTACCCCCAGGGACCAGGCCTCAGAAGGTAGTCCTTTGTTTCCAATTGTATTTGCCAGGTTCAAATTGACCCACTTCCAAATATTTGTTGCACCTGCTCCTCCCCACCTCCCCAGTTCCCACCCATTGTTCCTGTCCCTTTTGAAGTGCTCCCAGGAATTCTCCCAGGCCACCTACCTTTCTGCTTCTCAAAGGTCTCCTTTGTTGGGCTCTCTTCAGGCTGAAATGAGAAGAAACATCAAAGGTCATTGGGGCAGTGGGGGGCGGCACATCATCCTCTTTTTCCCTCTGTCCCCCATCCCACCAATGGACCTCCCATTGTAGCTGCTCTCCCCTTCCTGATCCTTTCGCTAAAGTCCTTGGGCACATCTGAGAGGCTGTGGGCCAGGCTTCCCTCGCTGTCTCCAAAGCCCAGGGAGTAATCTAGAAGATGCCAGTTTTAAGACTTCCCCATCCCAGGAGCCCATCAAGCCCAAGGGCTCAGCTCAGGTGCCACCTCCTCCTTGGAGCATCCTCTCCCTCCGCCTCCCTTCCCCCAAAGGGATCAGAGGATTCAAGTCTGACCATAGACTTTCCACCTGGAAGGGACCACCCTCAGAGGCCACCTACACCAACTCCTTCACTTTGTAAGTGAGTAAACTGAGGATGAGGAAAACAAAGTGACTTGCTCAAGGTTGCATGTATGATCCTCGGTCTGGAGCTGGGAGAGACCTCAGAAGCCAATTATTCCTGTTGTAGATATTTTTGTACAAATAGGTCCTCCCCCCCCCCTTTTTTTTTTACTTGCCCAGGGTCACACAGCTAGTAAGTGTCAAGTTTCTGAGGCCAGATTTGAACTCAGGTCCTCCTGACTCCAGGGCTGGGGCTCTATCTACTGCACCACCTAGCTGCCCCACCAATTAGTCGAATCCCCTCGTTTTACAGATGAGGAAACTGAGGCCCAGGGAGGGGAAGGGACTGGTCCAAGGCCATATAAGTAGTAAACAGGCAGAGCTAGGATTCAACCCCAGGCTCTCTGCCTCCAAATATAGTGGTCCTTCTCTTTCCTTGCTCAATATTTCCTCTAGCCCTTCATGTGGAATTCTCCTCTGTTCCTATCATCATTTGCTTTCCGTCATATTTAGCCATGCACACATCCTATTCCCCTCGTTAAACTGTAAGCTTCCTGAGGGCAGGGGCCAGGTCATTTTTCATCTCTGTAGTCCTTATTGGAAGCACTGTTGCTGGTGTGTAACAAGCACTTGATAAATGTTTGTGGTCTTGGAAAAAAAGCCATGATGTTGGTCATGCCCAGGACATCGAACTCCCTGGATCTGACAGGTGACAACAAATGGGAGAATCACTTCATGCTTGGAGATGGTACTAGAATCTCAAATGAGCATTTGGGGTTCTAATGGCTGCCTGCAAATGGCCTTTTATATGGGCCCCTGAAAAGATGGGAACCCAGGGAACCGAGGGAACCCAGGGCCTTGAGGAGTTGAATGACTAGCCTGAAGTCCTCTGAGAAGGGTTGGGTGGGGTGTCAAACCAGGATAGAAATGAAGAGCAGAGTCAGAGACCAAGGCCCAACTTGCTCAACTCAACATCTGCTAGGAAAGCTGCCACACACCTTCTCGTAAGCAATACTGGATGGAATCCATCATTAATACAGTCCTATCATTTGGCTGCTTTACATGAAATGCGTTTTTAGTGGTGTAGTAGATGGTTTCATTCAGGGCTCTGCACAATCCACTCAGCCTGGGACCTACATAAAGTCCTCTCCTATTTGTCTTGCCTACCTTTCCAGGCACATTTCATATAAATCCTCTTCACAAATTCTCTGTCCCAAACTGGCTGATGTCCATTTACCACCTCCTGTCCTGGGATGCGCTCCCTCCTCGGCTCAACTTGGAAAAATCCCTAACTTTTTTCAAAGGGCAGCTTAGATTAATCTTAGCACCTATGCAAGGTCTTTCCTGATCTCAGCAATTGCTGGTACTTTCTCCCTCTAGAATTTCTCATCTTTGCATGTGCTGTCCTCTTTCGTTCCCTCCTTAGACTAGAAGCTCCTTGAGGTCAGGGGTTATTGTTTTTATGTCACTAGTGCCTTATATACAATAGGTGCTTAATAAATATTTGTTCATAGGCTCTTAGCTTTAAAGCTAGAAGGGACCTCAGAGGTCATCTTGTTCAATACTTTCATTTTACTTAAGAGGAAACTGAGGCCCAGAGAGGTCAAATGACCTTGCTCAAGGTCACATCGCTAGAGGAAGAATTTGAACCCAGGATCTCTGACTCCAAATGGAGCCTTCTTTTCTGTGCCCATGACTGTCTCCCACAGTTACTGAATTGAACTGAATTATTGATGTATTTGAATTTGCACTATTATAATTATGTTGTAATTATGTAAAATATGGTAATTAGTTCCAGTCCAATGGAAATATGCAGTGCAAATTTGAATAATGAAATCACTTCAGGGAGATTCATTATTTGTGCTAATTGGGAATGAGTTGTAAACTGAACCAAACTGAACTGAATTGAATTGATCTGAATTGAACTGATCTGAATTGAATTGAATTGATCTGAATTGAACTAAACTGAGTTGAAAGGAATTGAATTGAGTTGCCAGACCTTAGGCTGTCAGTCACAAAGATTAATGTGTCATCTGCCCCTTGAACTGCCTACATATGCAGTTGAGTTTCAATTTTCCGTTTAAGCCAGAGTTTGGCACCATAAAAATGTGGTGACAGGAAAAAATACACTCAAGACCCAATAAACAAATGACTGCTTAGAACGCTTGCAAAAAAAGAAGAAAAAAAAAGACAGGGGGAGTGTAATGATTGCAGCTGGGCTACTTTTTTGGGTAAACTGGGCATAGACCTTTGGCAAACTGGGGTGGGGTGGGGTGGGGGGGATGGGGAGGAGGGCATTGACAAAAGTTGGCTTTTCAGGTCCTGGGCTCCCTGCTGGGTTGAGTGGTGCTCCATCCTTTCCTCCTACCCCGATGGATTACAAAAACAACCCTCCAAACCCCTGGCCTCAGGAAGAGGCCCTATGTCCAATGGCGCATTTTAAGTGGCTATGTTCAGTGTCCCAGGGGGTATGTTCATTGTAAGCTTTCCCTGTCCCTGTGGAGAGAGCTTTGTCTCCAAAAAAGGGACGCTAGGCACCAAGGAGCAGCCTAGTATAGGGGAAAAGCCCAGAATTTGGAAACCCAGAAAACCTGGGTTTGAATCTCAGCTCGGCTTCTTATTAGCAATGTGATCGTGGCCACGTTGCTTCCATTTCCTCAAGCCTTCATTTCTCATCTGTAAAAGGATGCCTGGAATTGATGATCCTAGGTCCCTTCCAGTGCTAAATCCATGAAACCTTTCTGAGTCTCAGTTTCCTTAACTATAAAATGATGGGGTTAGACTAGATGACCCCCCAAATCCCTTCCAGCTCTAAATCTATGATGCTGTAAGGTTTGCATGTGGAGGGAGAAAGGGAGGAAAGGAAGTTCCTCTGCTTGCCTCTACCTCTGTGGTCAACTTCCAACTCAACATATATTTAGAAACAACTTGGATGGCTATTTCCCACCCCCACCACCCATTACCCCCACCCTAGCCTGAGAGCTCAGAGCCCCTTAAAGTGCAAACTTCTGAGAATTTTGTGCCATTGGGAAAACACAGTGGCCCAGAAAATTAGCAAGCCGGCCTTGGCCAGTGCCTGGCATGAATTTGGTGCTTAATAAATGCATGTTTATTGACTGACTGGCCAAGAAAACTGAAATGTAGTCTGGACTCATTACCCTGAGCAAGAACACCAGATCTGGAGAACTAAAAATAAAAAAAAGAAATCAGAGGATTTTCATTGGTGACTGGAGGAAAGGGTCATTTGGGAAAAGCGGATTTGGTGTTGCACCATTTCAACTCCGTGGCTATATGCTAGAGGTGCCCTTTGGGGCTGATACCTTGAAGTCATCAACTCAACCAAGAGTTCAGAAGGAAAGTCCTGCCTGGGGTCTTTCTCACTCCTCTGCCAGGTAGCTGGTTTTAGATGAAGCCTCAGGTAGCTGGCAGAAATTCAGGGAAAAGCATATTCCCAGTGCCAGCCTACTCTCCCTGCCAAAGGAGGGGCAACTCTTGGCAGAGCCATAAGAATGCTATCTGTATTATTCAGCAGGGGTTCTTTTGGGTTTGTTTTTGCCAAGGACTTTGCTCTCATTTATTTCAGGATTTGTAGAATGTCCAAACTGAAGAAGACCTAGGAGTTCCTGATGCAGGGCACATCCTCTGTTACAAGTATGCCAGGCACCAAGAAGCAATGTTGTACAAAGGAAAGAGCCTGGCCCCAAAGCCCCGGAGGACTGGGTTCAAATTCTAACTGTGTGACATTGGACAAGGCACTTTAACTGTCTGTGCCTCAGTTTCCATATCTGTCAAATGAAGGTAACAACCCTTGTAGCACCTCCCTCACAGAGTGATTGTAAAGTGAACGGATATATTTAAGTGCTTTGCAAACCTTAAAATGTCAGCTCAGGGATGAGGGGTGACTTGCCTAAAGCTAGATTGCTCATGGGTGGTCAAGTCAAGGCTGGAAGGCCATGCTCTGACTCTCACTTAGCCCCATAGTCCTTTCCAAGAAAACTCTGGTCCTTTCACTACCCTCAGATATTGCCTGGAACTGCTGTCTCTAGTTTAAGGGTAAAGATGCTAAAATAGTCAGGAGGTTTGGAGGGAGCTGAAGGTCTCTCTAATCCATTTGAATGCATTCCAGTTCAATCCAGTCCAATAAGCATTGATTAAGAACCTATTGTAGGGGCAGCTAGGTGGCACAGTGGATAGAGCACCAGCCCTGGAGTTCAAATCCGGCCTCAGACACATACCACTCACTAGCTGTGTGACCCTGGGCAAGTCACTTAACCCCATTGCCTAGCCAAAAAAAACAAAAAACAAAAAACAAAAAATAAAACAAAACAAAAAAAACAAACAATAACGTATTGTAGACCAGGGAATGTGCTGCACACTGACCATCCAAAGACTCTCATCAACTCCTGCCCTTAAGAGACTTCCAGTCAGATGCCTAGATTGGTGTAAAGAGCCCAGTAAGCATGAACTAGTGGAGCCTTCTGTGGGGTTCCTGTGGGCACTAAATACAGGGGGTAAAGCCTTGGAGTACATACTTGGGGTGGGAGTGGGGTAGGGGGCCAGAGACCCCCATCTGCTACGCTGCAAGCACTTTTCCTGTGTAAACTATGACCTAATTAATGGCCCGAGACAGGCTTCAAGAGAGATGGCCTCATTAAAGTTTAGGGCAGAAGGTGCCAGCGCCCCGCAGGAAGGGGACGGAAGGAGAGGGAGGCAGTTGAGAGAGGGATGAGATGCTGGAATTAAGTTCATTGAAGTCCCCGAGAGGGTTCCTGAGGCCCCTCAGGACAGATCCTGGGCCCCAGCTGTGTCCCCAACTTAAGTGACAAGGGATCCAGGCCTCCCTTGAGGTCTGACCTTTATGGACACATTCACAGACACTGTCTAAATTCCAGGTGGACAGACAAGATGAAACATTTCGCATTCCGGATCACAGGCTCACAATTCTAGAGCTGGGGAAAGAAAGCGGTTTGCCCTGGGTCACACAAGTAGGAAGCAGCAGAGCCAGAACACAGGTGCTCAGACTCCCAGGCCAGCATTCTTTCTATTGCGTGAGCTTTGTTCAATACAGAGACAGTGGCATAGTGTCCTTAAGTCAATCTGGGTATGCAAAATGAAGCGTCATTTCAGGGCCATCGGTGTGGTGCCCTGGGGAAGAGTGCTGAATTTGGAGTGAAAGGATAGGAGTTGGAATCCCGGGGCTGCCTTCTATTACCCATGTGAGCTTGGGCAGGTCATGTCCCCTTCTTGTGCCTCAATTTCCTCATCTGTAAAATGAGCTCTGAGGTCCTTCCAGCTCTAAACCTTTTTGAGTGGATTAGGCAAAATCCCATGTGATGAACCGGTAACCAGCCCCCCATACCATTGCCGCTCAACTGGAAATTCTACCAGCACCACTAGACATTCAGTCTCTTGGATCCCAAAGACCTGTTAATCTTTGAGAGTCCTCTATTATTAGAGGGCAGAGCTAGACACCCTAGGTGGAAGTCGCCGAGAGGCAAATTTCGGTTTGCTGTCAGGAAAAGCTTCCTCCCGGTGAGAGAGGGCCTAAAATGGAACGGGCTGCTTAAGAGGTGCGGGGTTTGCCGTCCTTGGAGGTCTTTGAGCAGAGGCTGCCTGCCCTCTGGACACCCATAAGTCATATTGGGGATTCCTTTGCTGATGAAAGTTGGAAGGGATCAGGGGTGGAGAACCTGCCGCCTCAAGGCCACATGTGGCCCTCTAGGTCCTCAAGTGCGGCCCTTTGACTGAATCCAAACTTCACAGAACAAATGCCCTTAATAAAAGGACGTGTTCTGTCAAACTTGGACTCAGTCAAAAAGCAGCACCTGAGGACCTAGAAGGCCACATGTAGCCTCGAGGCTGCAGGTTCCCCACTCCTAGCCTCTGAGGTCCATTCTAGCTCTGAGAAAGTCTCTGTCATCAGCCAATCCCTTGGAAATCCACCAAGACAGCTAACTAGGGAGAGAAGGAAGAACTCCAGGTCATGGGCGGGTGGGGCTCCTTTAGGTGTCTGGGTCTGATAGGGGGTACTGACAGGAGACAGCGGCCTCCTCCTAACATGAACTTCCCTACTTGGTTTTGCCTAGGGCACAAGTTGTGGGTCTCTTAGGTGGGAATTTTTTCTTCTAGATGCATTTTCCACTATTACAGCCTAGATTTAGAGTAGCCTGGACCCCTAGAGGTCATCTAGTCCAATGCATCTTAAACTGTGGATTGCGACTCCATACGGAGCCGAAGGATCACAAGTGGAAAGAGTTTAAGAAGCCCTGAGTCCAATGGTGCCACTCCCAAATGCAATCAGAACCAGATTAAAATGTATTTAGGAAATATTTAACAAAATAAATACAAATACAATAGAACATAGATAATGTAAATATATGGTTTTCTAAGTCAATATGAAGCCCTGGTATGACACCAGTGATCTGGCCACCCAGGGAATCAAAGAGGCAAGTGTTAGAGCCAGGCTCAGAACCCAGACCTCCTACCTCCAGAATTCTGATTCTTCACAAGAAATTTCCTACATCTGTTTTGCCTTCCTTATGGCATTTTCTTTGTATTCATTTAAAACTCACACTATTAAGTGTGGCAGATTGGAATAAGTCCTGAATTTAGCTGGAGACCTGAGTTGGAATCCCAGCTTTGCCACATACTAGCTGTGTGGGCAAGTCACTCGACCCTTGTTGCCCCTCAGTTTCCTCATCTGTAAAAGGAGGGAGTTGGACTTGGGCACTTGTAATGGAAAGAGAAATGGCTTTGGAGTTGGAGGAGCTGAGTTAAAATCCCAGTTCTGCCATTTATTAGATAGGTGACCTTGGGCAAGTCATTCAACTTCCATAAAATGAGGGGTTGGCCTGGCGTGCTCCAAAGTTCCCGTTCATCTCTAGCTCTTATGACCCACATAAACAATAACATTAGTCTGATTTTTGAATTTATGAAAGAGTTTATGAAAGAGTTTACCTTAAACGGCTTCTGAAAGTGGGCTAGAATTTTCTGGCAGTTCAGGAACGTGGAGGAGTCTTTCTGGTTGCATTCCTGTAGTATCCTCATGAACAAATAGCCGTCTTGTTGATGTATCTCCTTTTCTACCTGGTTGTGGAAGAGCAGAGATATGAGACCCATGAGGCTGAGAGCGCACACCAGGCAATGATACTTCAACGCACAGGACCCTATCCCCCCCCATGGTGCTTTGAAAAAAACAAAACAAAAGGATAAGGGGTGACACCTACGAAATTCCAAATGGTGAATAATGGCACTGCCTATCCGACTTTGAGGAAATTGGAGATCTCTAATTCCTCACAAGCCAGAAGCAAAATGTCCCAGGATAATTGGCACATTAGTGAATGGAGGTAGAAATCACAACCTAGCTAAAAAAAATAATGACACCCCCAAACCACAATCACAATAATTGTTATATTACAACCACATTTTAGCATTTGGCTATTTGAAAAAGCATTCTTTCATGTGCTTTGCTCACTTTTTAGCAGAGTTGGGGGACTATGGGGGCGGAACATTGAATAATCTGGACTGATGTGTTGGGGAATTTTATTAAATTACTTTTTTTCTTTCTTTTTCTTTGTTACAAAGGATAGCTCACTGGGTTGGAAAGGAAAGGGAGATAGATCAGTAAATGAAAGTAATATAAAATAAAATATTATTAATAAAAATAAAAAAACTTACTGCTCTTCAGTTTACTTAGATTTTGATTCGGAAAGGACCTCAGAGAACATCTAGTCCCAACCCCTTCATTTCATAGATGAGGAAACTGAAGCCCAGAAAGGTTAAGAGGTTTGTCTTTGGCCACCCAGCAAGGATCAGAGGCAGGACTTGAACCCAGGCCCTTTAGACTCCAAGTTCAATCCTTTCTCTACCACACCAGATACCAACAACTTTGAAACTTGATAGAAAATTTTCATCTAAAAATATTGTCACAGGTCCTCGCGATTCATATGTCTCAGGAGATTTCAGTATGTGGAATTTAAGCTGTACCAGAAACCATTGAGACATTTTAAGACGGTGTCATGAATTAGTCTTTGCCAAAGACTTCATCTCCTTGCAGTCATCTTTTGGGCAATGAGCTTCTTTATGCTTAGCTAGGCTGGTCCTCAGGCAGCACACAGAACGTATCACCAGGCCTGGACACCAGGCCCAGTCCTCCTCAGCTCGGTAGGACTTGCCAAAGCTTGTGTTCCACTGCCGGTGTATCCAAGGACCCAAGGGTCACCTGCACACCATGATGAGGCAGCCAAGGAGGCCGCTGGCATTTTAGCTAGCTGGCTAGACATGGGTGCTAAAGGAAAGCTGTGGCTGCACAGGTAGGAGAGGGATTTCACCTCCAGAACCAGTCAAGTGACCAGACATTTGTCTGACAGAGGCCAAACCCAAAGCTCCCCTGGCTCTCCTTACTAATTGGATATTGAGCCGCCAGGACCCTGATCATTGCTTCCAGCATTTCTAGGGCTTCCATTATGCCCGTTAGGCTATGGCAATGGCCAGCCTCACAGTGCGGGGACAACAGATTGACAAATGAAGAATTCAGGTGCCCAGATGTTCTACTTGCATATTGGTAAAATCTGGATTTTTAGAAGCATCTGTACGAATAATTGCATGGATCATCCTTCTTTCATCAAAATGAGAAGCATCATCTAGAGCAGGGCTTTTTAAACTGTGGGTCCTGGTTGCACTGAAAGGGTCTAAGAAGCCCTGCTCTAGACACAGGCTGTGTCTCCTATTAGTGAGAGTGGGAGCTATGTGTGTGGAAACAAAATGCATCTTCCTGGTTATAATTTCTTAAGAATTCAAATTGACCCGCTCTGTTACCCAACTACTCTATGTTTCTGAACCTAAGTGGTAAAGTTCATGGACCAACCTAAGATGGGCAATGTAGCATAGTGGGCAGAATGTTGGCTTTTGAAATCAGGAGGCCTTAGAGCTCTGTGAGTCCCAATTTCACCATCTATAAAATGGGAATAATCATCTTGGCACTGAGAGGAAGTTTAACTTACAGTGGCCCTATAGTTAGGAACATCTGAGTTCAAGCCCTCCTTATGACACGTACTACTTACTTATGTGGCCGTAGGCAAGTTATTTGGCTTTTCAGAGTGCCCCAAGTAACTCTCTTAAGACTACAAATTGCAAAATAGTTGGTAATATGCAGCAGGGCACAACCTTCCACGCAAACCATTCCCGATCTAGATGAAATTACAAGTGGAGGCAAAAAAAAAAAAAAATCCTGACATTACTTACCTACCATGATTATTGGAAGGAAAGTTCTTTGTAAAACTTGGTTGTGCTATGGAAATATAAGCTATTTTTCAGAGGAAAGAAAATCAGTTTGCTCCCTTATCACAAATGATTGCGCAAAGAATACCTTTTAATTAGTGACAGAGTAGTCTTGTCTTCTCGTGTTTGTGCTAATTGAATATAGGACGAAATATTCAGTTGACATGAGCTTATCCATTGCTAATGAGCTGTTCTATTGTAAATTTCAATTAAAAAATTCAAAAGTGACTTTTCATCACATGAAACTTTCTGAAAGAACAGGAATCTGAAGGACAAGACATCCTTGATGAGGTAACTGAATGCGTAGGGAAAGAATATTATCTCCCTCCGACTTCCACTCTTTCACCTCACTTGAGTAGAGTTTCAAGCCAAACGTTGAAAACTCAAAATGTCAAGCCAAGAAAAACAAACAGCCCAATTTCATCAAGCCTTGCAGTTAATCTTACCTCGTCCAGCCTCCTATGAAGGTAGACACCAAAAAACGCCGTTCCAATAGTCTGAGCAATAACAAAAAGAGTAAGTAAAAACATAACGATTTTCACGGTGGCCGCAGAGACAGTATTCCCAGCCGGGGGAGCAGGTGGGCTGTATGGTTCATTCATGCTTCGATTGAGTTGAAATGACTTCTGACAGAGGAGCTTGCAGAAGCAGCATTAGAAGGCTGGTGTACTTGCTACCCTACTCAGGATTAGTTAAGAGCACACAATCATCTCAGCCCACACTTCCTGGAAAATGTGCTTCGTGGTGTTCTCTCCCAGTAAAAAAGTTACGTAAAGGGTTGTTTTTTTTTTAATTGCACCCATATCGTTCACTTCCAGGCTTTCCCCCTTTGGGTGGCAAAGAAGAGACGAGTTGCTTCTTCCATCTATTCATTCGTGCCTTGAAACGTTCAAAACTTCAGTAGCCGATGGCAGTATTTTCCTATGGCAAGGCTCAATTGGTCTTGGTTTGCCAGTTTCAAGGAAAATGACAAAGACTGACTAGCTTCAATTTCGGTCTTACTAATGTGTCTCCAGTTTATGGAAAAGAAAATAGGTCTAGGAAAAAAAAAGATTGGATTGATTTGACTATCGAGAATGGGCAGCTAATTGCTCCTCAAACACAATCAAGGCTGGTTAGGCCAGGGCTGTCCATTCCAAAGCAAGGCCGAAGACTCACTTTGGTTTTGTACAGTTCAACACCACTACCACCCCCCTCCCCACCAAACCCCATCCATAGGCCAAGAGAAAGAGTGACTTGAGGTGGTCATCCAAGGGAATTAGACCCAAACTTTGTGATTAAGGAGAAAGAAGAAATTTTAGTCTGATTTAGCCAAACTCATTATTCACCAGGAGCAAATCCATGACATGATGACCTCTTCACCTTTCCATCAGCTTTTGCTTGCTAGTGGTCCAGAACAAGACCACCTGGTCTGGTCCAGGCTCGGCTACTAACTTGATACATGACCTTGTGCAAATCACTTTTCCTTTCCACATCTAAGAAATGGGAATAATAATGTCTACCCTGCCTACCTCTTCAGGTTCTGATGAAATTCAAATTAGACAAACCATGCGAATAAACTTTGGATAAAACATTAAGTCTTATACCATGGTGGGGAACCTGTGGCCTTGAGGCCATATGTGGCCTTCTAGGTCCTTGGGTGAGGCCTTTTGACTGAGTCCAAGTTTTATAGAACAAATCCTTTTATTAAGGGAATTTGTTCTGTGAAGTTTGGATTCAGTCAAAGGGCCTTGAGGACCTAGAGGACCACATGTGGCCTTGAGGCTGTAGGTTCCCCATCCCTGGCCTATACCAACTCATGAAAGGCAGCATGGTATAGTAGGTAAAGCTGGCCTAGGAACTAAATACATTTGGGTTGATGTCCTGCCTCTGACACATATTGGCTGTGTGGCCCTGGGCAAGTCACTTACCCTCTTAGTGTTCTAGATTCTAGACTAGACTCTCTAGGACTCTTAAGTTGGAGAAAAGATTCTGACTTGCATTGGTTGAGGGAGTTTTCTCATGGGGGAACTCCCTACACCAATGAACTCCCATATCCAGGACCTATTCCCTGTCCAGTCACTAGCTATAAGCGCCTTATTAGATTGGAAGCCTCTTGAGTTCAGGGACTATTTCAATTTTTTTTGGTCTTTGTAGCCCCAGCACTATCACAGGACCTGGCACATAGTAGGCACTTTAATACATGTTTGTTGAATGTAATTGACTTGATCTGATATTACTCCCGTGAATCATCTGGATTTTCTCTAGGTATGACCTGAAGTTGCCAAATAAGTGCTAACACTTCACTTTGTAGTGAGACAAACCCCCCCCACCCCAAGCCCCAAAAGTATCAGCAGCAAATTACTTAGGTGTCAAGAAATCCACTTTTCTAAATACTATTTGCATTCTTTTCCCACAAGGCATTCACGGTTAAAGAAACTCTTGAAATGTTCTGTGACAGGTAGAAGGCATCGAGAGACTCATGTTTGACCAGAGACCACAATGAAAAGTTTGTTTCTGTAATTAATTCCAAATTGTTTTGAAAGAAAACAATGTCAAATGCAGCAGTGATCAGATATGCATACCGCCAGTAGACTCAGCATCAGCTCATCACCGCCCACGCCCCAGCATCCTGTCCTGTGTGTGTGCAGCAAACAGCTATTCGTAAACCTGCTCCCAGGCAAACAACACGATTTTTATCAGAGCCGGACATCTCTTTTCTTCCATAAAGTGGTTTAATTCCATTGAGGGAAGATGCTCATAGGAGCATTTCACATTGTGAAAATGGCCACTGGGCCAGACGCCGGCTTTCCAGCTCCCTAGGTTTGAGAAGTTAGGATGTGACAATGTTAACATTGGTTAGTATGACCAAAGGTCATGGCAGTGAAGAGGGGATAAGGAGAAAAAGGCAATGCGTCAGCCTAGGGCTGAGGCTGAGTTCTTATAAACCTGTGGAAAGAAACCTTGGGTAGCTTTATAAAGTGTCTTTGACAGCAATGGGAGAGGAAGGGTTTACTTCTCCTGTCATCTCTAACCCAAGCAATAAGGTGTTTTATTTTGTTCTTTTCTTAGACTACAGCCTTGGGCTACAGATTTTACTTTCCCAGTCTGTTAAGAATACTCCAAGAAGTTCTATAACTAGGGTAGGGCAATGGGATTTTGCCCTAAGGCAGGGAAATTTAGAGGGTGCTAAAAGCACTTGTAGCTCTTCAGCACCTAGAAACAACTGAGCTTAACACCTAGTTAGCAATAATTATTAGTTCAATAAGGAAACCATTAGATGATTCCCACCCCCCACCCCCAACTCTGGTGACCAGTGGCCACACTCCAGGTGAATTACCCTGTGTCTTGGGATTTCTTTGTTCCACTGTACAAAAATGGCCAGTCCTAGCTCTGACCCCAGGTCCTTTATCCCCATCTGGCTCAGGCAAAATCTCTTTTACTCTTGTGTGATGGAAGAGTACAGTGGAAGAGCACTGACTTCAGGGTCAGAGGATTTAAATTCCTCCTCTGATGCAACTTGTTACTTGTCCAACCTCGGGTAAGTCAATTAGCTTCTCTGGGCATCTGTTTCTTCATATGTAAAAAGAAAAAAAAATGAGGGGATTGTATTAGATGGCCTTTGAGGTCCTTTCCATTTCTAGATCTGTGATCCTAAGAATTTGAGGGCACAGATCCTATATAGGTGGGCAAATGATAGGTATTCAGCTTAGCCACCCAATCTAATTGGGATATAACCCTGGTTATTACAACTTTAGTCTGCTTCATCCCCAAGATTAACATCTTCTCCCTGGTCTGTGGGGAACCTCAATCCTTTCTTGTCGGATTTAAGGGCATAACCCTACTTCCCACAGCCACCGGCCCAAGCAAGCTGCTTCTCTAGGTTCTACATCTAGACATCCTTCAAAACAAGCCTCCTCCACTCTAGCTTGGGTCATTGTCCATGAGAGACTATTCTCTTCACTCTCTCCCATTGACTAAGTTCTAGCAGCCTTTTCAACAACCACAACAATAACAACAACAACAAAAACTACTACTACTACTACTACTACTACTACTACTACTACTACTACTACTACTACTACTACTACTACTACTCATACTAATCTCTTCTTTGATTAAACTTTTTGTTTTCTGTCCCTTCTTGGAGTCTCACTACCTACCAGGTCTGGATCCCTATTGTTCTGCCTTCAACAACTTTTGGCTTGTTATCCAATCAGTATCTTCAAAATTTACATTTGTCCTACTAGGCATCATCGAGGGCTAGGAATAGAGGCTAGAATAGAGGAAATTCATTCTCCGGTAGAAGTTTTCCCACTTTAGATGTTGGTGTCCTGAGACAAAGTCCCAATCACTCTCCCCTACTTCTAGCTTTGGGAGGGAGACAGACAAAGGGACTCTTGACCTAAGAGTTTTGAGACTTGGGGACTCTCTGGTCCCAGCTCTATCAAAAAGTTATCCACTCTCCGGGTCTGTTTTCACATCTGTAAAATGATGGAAATTGGACTAAGTCTCCATAGTAGTGGAAAAAGAGCTGACTCTAGAGTCAAAGGAGCTGGGTTCAAATCCTGCCTCTGTCACTTGCCATCTGTATGACCTTAGACAGGTCATTTACCTTTCTTGGGCCTCAACTTCCTCATCTATAAAAAGTGAGAAGCTTGGATTAGGTGGGCCCTGAGGTCCCTTCCACATCTGGAGCCCGGAATACTCTGATCACGAAAGTCTGATTCCAGTTCTAACATTCAATAATGATCACATTAACATATTAATACATACATCTATGATGGATCCTGAGCTCAAAGGGCCCTCAGAGACCACCTAATCCATCCTCTTCATTTCTCAACCCCATATGGGGGCACAACCCACAGCTGAAGAAGTGCTGAAGGGGTTTTGAGTGGAAAAAGTTTAAGAAGCCCTGTTATAGATGACGAAAGCAATGCCCAAGGAGGGGAATTGATTGGTCCAGGGCCTCGCCATAGGATCAACAATTTAGAGCTGAAAAGGACCTCAGAAGCCCTCTAGTTCATTTTAAAGAGAGGGCAGGTAACTGAGGCCTAGAGAGGGGATGTGACTTGTTCTGGGTCACACAGTTGCCAAGTAGCATTTCTTCTGGAACTCCAGATCTAGGCCTCTCTCTAGACTATGCCATGCTGCCTTGAAATATGGATATAGTTCCAGGCCTTAAGGCTGGGCCTGGAGTCAGCAAGATGTGAGTTCAAACCTGGCCTCAGATACTTACTAGCTGTATGACCCTGAGCAAGTCACTTCACCTCTGATTGCCTCAGTTTCCTCATCTGTAAAATGGAGCTCATAATAGCACCTAGCTCCCAGGGTTGTTGTGAGGATCAAATGAGATAACAATTGTAAAGTGCTAAGCTAAGCACAGTGCCTGGCACAGAGTAAACATAATAATAAATGTAGCTCTTTTCCTTTTTAAATTTTTTTTTGCAGGGCAATCATGGCTACTTAACAACCATGGTTACTTACCCAGGGTCACACAGCGAGTAAGTGTCAAGTGTCTGAAGTCACATTTGAACTCAGGTCCTCCTGACTCCAAGGCCAGAGCTCTATCTACCACGCCACCCAACTGCCCCTTCTCCTTCTTCTTGTAATATAATGGGGAGACCTCTTTATTACACTTCTACAAATCAAAGGTCCAAGGGGAAGAAGGGACTGACCACTCCTTGGAAATACTTTCCTTCCTTCTGCTCCCCCAGAATCCCTCAGCAGATGTTT